GGGCTCTCCTTCTCTGTGGCCGACATGAGTAAGACATTTAAGCATGTTAACCCCCGCAAGGCTGCCAGCCCAGACGGCATCCCTAGCCGCATCCTGAGAGCATGCGCAGACCAGCTGGCTGGAGTGTTTACGGACATATTCAATCTCTCCCTATCCCAGTCTGCTGTCCCCACTTGCTTCCAGATGGCCACCATTGTTCCTGTACCCAAGAAAGCAAAGGTAACTGAACTAAATTACTATTGCCCCGTAGCACTCACCTCTGTCATCATGAAGTGCTTTGAGAGACTAGTCAAGTATCAAATCACCTCTACCTTACCTGTCACCCTAGACCCACTTCAATTTGCTTACCGCTCCAATAGATCCAAAGACGATGCAATTGCCATCACACTGCCCTATCCCATCTGGACAAGAGGAATACCTATGTAAGAATGCTGTTCATTGACTATAGCTCAGCATTCAACACCATAGTACCCTCCAAGCTCATCATTAAGCTCGAGGCCCTGGGTCTGAACCGCGCCCTGTGCAACTGGGTCCTGGACTTCCTGACGGGCCGCCCCCAGGTGGTGAAGGTAGGAAACAACATCTCCACTTCGCTGATCCTCAACACTGGGGCCCCACAAGGGTGTGTGCTCAGCCCCCTCCTGTAATCCCTGTTCACCCATGACTGCATGGCCAAGCACGCCTCCAACTCAATCATCAAGTTTGCAGACGACACAACAGTAGTAGGCTTGATTACCAATAATGACGAGACAGCCTACAGGGAGGAGGTGAGGGCTCTTGGAGTGTGGTGCCAGGAAAATAACCTCTCACTCAACGTCAACAAAACAAAGGAGATGATCGTGGACTTCAGGAAACAGCAGAGGGTGCACCCCCCTATCCACATCGACGGGACCACAGTGGAGAAGGTAAAAAGCTTCAAGTTCCTTGGCGCACACATCACTGACAAACTGAAATGGTCCACCCACGCAGACAGTGTGGTGAAGAAGGCGCAACAGAGCCTCTTCAACCTCAGGAGGCTGAAGAAATTTGGCTTGTCACCTAAAACCCTCACAAACTTTTACAGATGCACAATTGAGAGCATCCTGTCAGGCGGTAACACCACCTGGTATGGCAACTGCACTGCCCGCAACCGCAGGGCTCTCCAGAGGGTGGTGCGGTCTGCCTAACGCATTACTGGGGCCAGACTACCCGCCCTCCAGGACACCTACAGCACCTGATGTCACAGGAAGGCCAATAGGACATCAACCACCCGAGCCACTGCCTATTCACCCCGCTATCATCCAGAGGGCGAGGTCAGTACAGGTGCTGTAACTCTGAGACTGAAAAACAGCTTCAGACTGTTAAATAGCCATCAGTAGCACATTAGAGGCTGCTGCTGCTGATGGACCTGTGGCATTAACTATCACTCAACTCGCCCTAACAGTCTGGTGGCGTCGTTGGCTGTTTGGTACACTGCTGCAGCCTACGCAGTTACTCCGCTAATTCCCTTCATTCATTTCTCTCCTCCCTTAGGATAAGGAAGAGTGCAGTGCGAAAAGGAAAGGAGCGGAGAGGGGATAGTCTGGACGTTCTGCCCACAGGCTCGGAGTGTGTATGTGTTAGGGTGCATGCAGCATTAGACCACCGCACTGATGGAGACGAGAGAGAGGAAGCCTGGCTACTTTGCCAGGTAAGTGAAAGTTGTTTCTGTGTTTAGCCTCTGTTAGGCCGAAGTCTTGTAGTGTTGTGTTTTTAGAGACAGCCTGTGTGTTACCTGCATGTGGCAACTATGTTTTGCTTCACAATGTGTGCACGGCGTGGCAGCACTGACTGACATCCCAATTTGTCATTGTTTGTCACGGTGTGTTAAAATCAAATGACATTTTATTGGTCGCATACACATTTAGCAGATGTTATTGCTGGTGTAGCGAAATGCTTGTGTTCCTAGCTCCACCAGTGCAGTAATATCTAACAATTCACAACAGTACACACAATTTGAATTCCGAAATGTATAAATATTAGGACGAGCAATGCCGGAGTATAAATATGTGTACGTATGTGATGGGATGTACAGTGAGGGGAAAAAAGTATTTGATCCCCTGCTGATTTTGTACGTTTGCCCACTGACAAAGACATGATCAGTCTATAATTTTAATGGCAGGTTTATTTGAACAGTGAGAGACAGAATAACAACCCAAAAATCCAGAAAAACGCATGTCAAAAATGTTATAAATTGATTTGCATTTTAATGAGGGAAATAAGTATTTGACCCCTCTGCAAAACATGACTTAGTACTTGGTGGCAAAACCCTTGTTGGCAATCACAGAGGTCAGATGTTTCTTATAGTTGGCCACCAGGTTTGCACACATCTCAGGAGGGATTTTGTCCCACTCCTCTTTGCAGATCTTCTCCAAGTCATTAAGGTTTCAAGGCTGACGTTTGGCAACTCGAACCTTCAGCTCCCTCCACAGATTTTCTATGGGATTAAGGTCTGGAGACTGGCTAGGCCACTCCAGGACCTTAATGTGCTTCTTCTTGAGCCACTCCTTTGTTGCCTTGGCCGTGTGTGTTGGGTCATTGTCATGCTGGAATACCCATCCACAACCCATTTTCAATGCCCTGGCTGAGGGAAGGAGGTTCTCACCCAAGATTTGACAGTACATGGCCCTGTCCATCGTCCCTTTGATTCAGTGAAGTTGTCCTGTCCCCTTAGCAGAAAAACACCCCCAAAGCATAATGTTTCCATCTCCATGTTTGACGGTGGGGATGGTGTTCTTGGGGACATAGGCAGCATTCCTCCTCCTCCAAACACGGCGAGTTGAGTTGATGCCAAAGAGCTCAATTTTGGTCTCTTCTGACCACAACACTTTCACCCAGTTCTCCTCTGAATCATTCAGATGTTCATTGGCAAACTTCAGACGGACATGTATATGTGCTTTCTTGAGCAGGGGGACCTTGCGGGCGCTGCAGGATTTCAGTCCTTCACGGCGTAGTGTGTTACCAATTGTTTTCTTGGTGACTATGGTCCCAGCTGCCTTGAGATCATTGACAAGATCCTCCTGTGTAATTCTGGGCTGATTCCTGACCGTTCTCATGATCATTGCAACTCCACGAGGTGAGATCTTGCATGGAGCCCCAGGCCGAGGGAGCTTGACAGTTCTTTTGTGTTTCTTCCATTTGCGAATAATCGCACCAACTGTTGTCACCTTCTCACCAAGCCGCTTGGCGATGGTCTTGTAGCCCATTCCAGCCTTGTGTAGGTCTACAATCTTGTCCCTGACATCCTTGGAGAGCTTTTTGATTTTGGCCATGGTGGAGAGTTTGGAATCTGATTGATTGATTGATTGCTTCTGTGGACAGGTGTCTTTTATACAGGTAACAAGCTGAGATTAGGAGCACTCCCTTTAAGAGTGTGCTCCTAATCTCAGCTCGTTACCTGTATAAAAGACACCTGGGAGCCAGAAATCTTTCTGATTGAGAGGGGGTCAAATACTTATTTCCCTCATTAAAATGCAAATCAATTTATAACATTTTTGACATGCGTTTTTCTGGATTTTTTTGTTGTTATTCTGTCTCTCACTGTTCAAATAAACCTACCATTAAAATTATAGACTGATAATTTCTTTGTCAGTGGGCAAACGTACAAAATCAGCAGGGGATCAAATACTTTTTTCCCTCACTGTATACACACACACACACACACACACATGTACGCAGACTCCGTACATAGTCTCAAGTGCAGGCTGACAACACGTTGATCCATGCACTCATTACATCCCTCTCCTGTGTCTCCGAAATGCATCCCAAACCTTTCAGGCTAGTGCTAGGCTAATAACATCAGTGTTGCATGGAGAGGAGACTATAGCCAGAGGAGAGGGAACATGGAGGGAGGAAGGACCTCTTGGCCACAGCTAGCATCCCCTCTCTTCCTGTCAACTGAGCAGGGTGCAAAGGCCATTCAGGACTGCAGAGTGCTCACAAACAGAAGAGACACTGTGAAATGGCTGCCTGTTATGTCACCAAATTATGTTGTCATATGGCCTCCATGACTTGGACAGTCATAGGATGGCCCAAACACCGGTCCCAGGTGATTTTAGATTATGAATATTCTTTATAAAGTATTTTGTGTCCCGGTAAATAGCTGAAGCATGAGAAATCCAGTAGTGATGATGGAAGCATGAGAACCTGGCTCTGTCTGTTCTGTTGCTGCTGTTTTTGGATGAGTTGTTTATATTTTACATTATCTGTGGCTGTGCTTGAGTGATTACACAGGCAGGCCAAATATTGCTCCGCAACCAGGATAGAGAAAAAGCAAGAGTGGGACAAAATGGTAGAGAGCCAAAGGAAATCTATACATTTCGCTTGTGGAGATGTCCCTGTGTGAAACAGGAGGGCTGTGTGGCATGTGCTGGTGAAATCCTGAAACGTTTACCAGATGTGTCTGTTGCTCTGCTGTATCCGTAATTGCAGAGAGGCTATTAAAAGACCAGAGCTGTATCCGTCTGTCTCGTGTCTCCAAACCTATTGATCCACTGCCCAGTGCTCCTCCATTAGAGACGCTCTCGCTTTCTATCTCTATCTCTCTGCTTCTTCATTTTCACACATCCTTTGTCTGTACAGCATTGGATTTCCTTGAATGTTGACTTCCCTACCTCCTCTCTCTCTTTCCAACTGTTTCTATACTGGGCCTACCCTGCCTGGGCCTTGTTTACAACCTGTTTCAGTCGGTCCCGTAGGCCTAGCACTACCCCTTTGTACACAGGTTGACTCTAGCTTTGTTGTAGCTTCCACTGTTTGGTGTCGCTTCCCCTGTTAATGAACCCAGGCAAGCAGGCAGGGGTGGGAGACGCCATGACATCATCGCCTGACCTATCAATGATTAATCAGAGAAAAGGACAGAGGATGAGAGGAGCAGAGGGTGGGGAGGAAGGTTGGGAGAGAAAGTGAGCAAGCAAACGAAAGCAATGTTTTGAAGTTTGTTTCACAACCTAACAGGAAACTTTAATTGGGATTGAAATCAAATGTTTATAAGGCTGAGTAAACAGATTGACCTCCTCCATATCCTCAGGCTGAAGAAGCGGCGACAGGTCAAGCAGAGCCAATCAGAGAAGGCAATGGCTGAGCAGAACCCGTCGGATTCGTCCTCAAAGATGCCCATCATCTCCTGCCCAGACCCTACTTTTTCTGAACCCCTGGAGAGGATGAAACCTAACCCACCTGGAGGCTCAGGTAAAACGTGCACACACACAGGAACTTTCCCTAGGCACAGAGGCACATGACCCCCTGTTATGAACAGAGGGTCCGAATTATCATCTTATCAAGGAAGTTGTATAACTGACCAGATTCTCTTCTGTTCTTAGTTTTGCCTGTTTTTTTTGGCAGCTTTTAGGACAATGTGATGAACATCCTCAGCTCTCCCTTCAGATTCCTGTGGTTGGATGGAGGGACTGCCAGTTGGCAGGCAGAATGCTCCATGTTTTGCAATGGCATACCACATTATCATGCTGACATTAGAAGTGTTCTGCGTATGAAGGAGTAACTAATATAAAAATAATAATTTGTGAACATATTCCTGGCACAACAAGTAGCCTAATAACTCTAATCAAATGTCGTTTTAATCTAACAGTTTATTTCTGTCAGTGTTGTTATTGAACTAAAATGGCAGTCTCCTTCAATGACAGACAGGTCTTCTATAGCTAGTCCAGGCCTTGACAACCTTTTAGCCACTTTTTTTTTTTTTTTAACACCTTCCGAAAGCTCAAGTCACTTCTCCAAAAACAGTCTAACACCATGTTTACATCCTTGTATGATGCAAGGAACCACTTTACAATGCATTACGATCTTTTTTACATAGAGAATCAGACAAACATGTAAGCTACACTCTTTGCATATTCAAGGCTGTCTCAAAATATAACACTGCCCCCTTAACGCTATCCTGGAGGATGGTTTGCCACCCTTGGTAGCCTGTAAAATATTGCAATGTTACAATTACAACCAAATACTTTTTATGTCTTTATAAAATAATTAAAGGCGTAAAATATGTCGAGGACAGTTCAACAGACTCTGGGACAGTTCTGGGACTGTGACGACAGAGACATAATTCATACAACTACTGCATATTTAAAAAATAATGAAAGCAATGAGGCTGATGCAACAGATCAGTCCGTTTAGCTTAAAATGTTGATACAGGTTTATTTATTCATATTATAAGCTCAGCAATGCGCACATGGCTGTAGGCTACACGCAAATGTTCCAAAATGCAATTAGCAGGAAAACACCGTTCTCAAGTGCACCACATGCGCAAGCGGTCTCGTGCGGTTTCATGTGACAGAGATGAAAATATCCTTTAGAAATTAAGAAAGAGGGGAGATGTAAAGATGCATCAACTAGCATGGGATACTAATATGACTAGGATTGTGCCTTTGGCTGCTGGACAATATTAGAAAGTTGATTTGAAAACCAATAGAACATGAGGGAAATGCTGGTTTCAATGGCATATGTAGTGTTGGCTGCCTGGTCAAACTGAGCAATCGTGGGAGAAGGGCCTTGGTCAGGGAGGTGACCAAGAACCCGATGGTCACTCTGACAGAGCTCCAGCGTTCCTCTGTGGAGACGGGAGAACCTTCCAGAAGGACAACCATCTCTGCAGCACTCCACCGATCAGGCCTTTATGGTAGAGTGGCCAGACGGAAGCCACTCCTCAGTAAAAGGCACATGACAGCCCGCTTGGAGTTTGCCAAAAGGCACCTAAAGGAGTTTCAGACCATGAGACACAAGATTCTCAGGTCTGATGAAAACAAGATTGAACTCTTTGGCCTGAATGCCAAGCGTCACGTCTGGAGGAAACCAGGCACTGCTCATCACCTGGCAAATACCATCCCTACGGTGAAGCATGGTGGTGGAAGCATCATGCTGTGGGGATGTTTTTCAGCGGCAGGGACTGGGAGACTAGTCAGGATCAAGGGAAAGATGAATGGAGCAAAGTGCAGAGAGATCCTTGATGATAACCTGCTCAGGACCTCAGACTGGGGAGAAGGTTCACCTTCCAACAGGACAACGACCCTAAGCACACAGCCAAGACAACGCAGGATTGGCTTCGAGACAAGTCTCTGACTGTCCTTGAGTGGCCCAGCCAGAGCCCGGACTTGAACCCGATGTAACATCTCTGGAGAGACCTGAAAATAGCTGTGCAGCGATGTTCCCCATCCAACCTGACAGAGCTTGAGAGGATCTGCAGTGAAGAATGGGAGAAACTCCCCAAATACAGGTGTGCCAAGCTTGTAGCGTCATACCCAAGAAGACTCGAGGCTGTAATTGCTGCCAAAGGTGCTTCAACAAAGTACTGAGTAAAGGGTCTGAATACTTATGTAAATGTGATATTTCAGTTCTTAAAAAATAAAAACACTTGCAAAAATGTTAACCTGTTTTTGCTTTGCCATTATGGGGTACTATGTGTAGATTGATGAGGGGAATGTAATCCATTTTAGGATTTTGCTGTAACGTAACAAAATGTGGAAAAAGTGAAGGGGTCTGAATACTTTCTGAATGCACTGTATTTATGTAATTAAAAGTCTCATTCAAGTTTGACTACATTTACTGCACCTTCCTCATGTAATGTCATCATCATCAGTTTGGACATGAGGCTGAATCAAATATGCATATCACCTATATACGTTGACATGTAGGCTTGATTATTTGTTTACATGAAAAATAGATTTTAATATTACTCCAATGTTGGCCTCTGATACAATTCTGATCAGAGTAATTGTGTGATTTTTTTTTTATTGTTTTACTTTAAATTTATATTTTTGTCAGACAATTATTTTTCTTGTCCCATACAAGAGTTAATGTTGAGCACTGTAGTCTGTAAAGCATAGAGACCTTTCATTAACCCTGTGTTGACAGTGTTAATCTACTAGCCACAATAGTGGGTTAGTACCAGGCCAGCTGTGTAAACTGCCGTCAGTAAGCTAATAAAACCCTGTCATTTTTCTCTCCGGCCCAGTGTGGGCATCTAGACAAAGGAACCCACATAACCCTGACAGACCACTCACTGAGGGACAGACAGAGCTCTGTCCTCTCCAGGCCTGGTTATAAAGGTTTCAAGCTAAGGCCTTTTACAGTCTGCAGCCTTTTAATTCAGAGGTTGTTGCGTAATGGCTTTACAAACATAATGTAATTAAATCAGAGCCGATATCCCCATAATCCACTGACCAAGGAGTCTATGTAGGCCTATACTGCATTCACTCAGAGCTACAACAGTACGCAGAAAGGAAACAAATTGTTATTCTATATTATTACTATTTCTCGATCTGATAAAGCTACCAGTCACTATGCAGTAGTGAGTAAGTGACAGCTCTGTACCAGAGGTGATCTCTCTGAATGTACAGTGACCCACAGCTGGACTCCTCACAGCTGTACAATGCTGAGTCATCCCTCCACTGTTTCTGTAGGAGCTGGAGCACTGTACTGGAGTAGAGGAAATAGTGGGAGGGTGTTTTTAATAAACTGGCACTGGCAATTAGTGAGCGAGAGAGGGTTTTGATTCCAATATAGCTCTATTTAAAGTACTATTGTGTTTGTGAATACATGCTTTTGTGTTTCTGATTGAGCTGCTCTATGGCGGTCATCTCTCTATACTGTGTCGGTGACCTATGGCTGTCTTTCAGATGGCAGCAGCAACACGAGCAGCCAGGCCAAGCGAGAGAAGAGGAGGCCCCCCGGGACAGTGGAGTATACCGTTAGTACAGGCTGCCTCTGTGATGCCTCACTAACTCCTCTCTCACACTACAACTCCCATAAACCCATGGGGTTCTGACTTCAAAGACTGGCTTAGGAAAGCAATGTGGACAATAAACCTCAACCATTTTCTTCAGCAAATACAAGGGTGTATTCATTACGTCTAGCAATGGAAACCGTTTTCCATTTAAGAACCAAACGGAAGCAAACTGAGCGAACGGAACAGGGAGGGACCTACCTGAATTTGTCCAATAGAAACTCATTTTCGTTGCAAAATGTTTTACGTTTTGGAGTCAACAGTTTCTGTTGCAAAACGTTTTGCAACAGAATCGGCTTAATGAAGACACCGAGTTGTATGCTTTGCAAGATTTCTGCAGATTTTGTCTCATGCTGCATTTTGCTTTGGGTAGATTGATACTTTTGGTAATCAAGAATAACCAAGGACTTAACTTCATGTTACAGGTGGGACTCCAGGAATCTCTAAGCAGCATCTCTCTGAAGTTTAACATCACCCCGAACAAACTGGTGCAGCTCAACCGCCTCTTCTGCCGCATTATCTATCCTGGACAGGTGAGGTTTCAGCACATTACACACCACTTCATGCTTTAAATCTTGGCTTTCTGATTGGCTAACATGCCTGTCCTTCACCCTTGCAGAAGCTGTTTGTTCCTGACTTGGGCCAATCGGGTGCCGACTCTCAGTCTGTGGGTTCTTCTGACCCCGCCTTCCCCAACAGTCTATCAGAGAAGGTGTCACAGGTAAGTCATTCTCCTTTTTAAGATAACCCATACTAAAGTCATCTCTGATCCTGGTTCTGTGCTTGTCCCTGCTGCGTGGCGATATGTTACAGGATGGAGACTCCAGCGGCAGGTCAGTAAGACCATTACGACGGGAGCTGTCTCCCCCATCCGAGGACGAGAGCCCTGCCACAGTCAAGTACATTAAGATGAGCTGCAAGTACTTTACTGACGGAATGGTAAGTGGCCACACCGTAGGCCATTTTGTATTAAAGACCATCACCACCACAACAGACTCAAACTCATGTATTTTGTCTCCCAGGGTGTGGTGGGAGGGGTGATGATCGTGACGCCCAACAACATCATGTTTGACCCTCACAAGTCGGACCCACTGGTGCTCGAGCACGGCTGTGAGGAGTACGGCCTGCTCTGCCCCATGGAGGAGGTGGTGTCTGTGGCCCTCTATGACGACATCTCCCGCATGAAGCTCAAGGACACACTGCCATCGTAAGAACCAACCCTGCCATCTTGAGAAGCTCTTTCACATTCTGTCCATCTCTCACTCCCTATTTAAACTAGCCCTTTCCCCCTTTTTGATCTTATCTTAACCTTGCTTTTCTTACTTATTCTTCAAGCGTCACACTTTTTCTTCTTGCTGTTTCTACCTCTTTCTGCACTCCTCTCTCTCCCTTGTTCTTTCTAATCCCTCTGAGGTGGAAAGGTGAACTGATTTGCCGAGCTCATACTGTAGGGTTTCCGGTACCAGATTCTAGGGACAGACGACTCGCATTCATTTTTGTCTTTAGTTTTTGAATGATCTATTATATTTTATTTTGTACTGGTTAATTGTCTCGTTTACTATTATTTGTACTATTATTATTTAGCCTTTTGAAATCCCTTTTTATTTTGTCCTGTTTTTTCAGTTGCATTTTCTTTCTGTTCATTTATGATTTCCATTTATTTTGTTTATTTTATTTGTTTCATTTTTCCCATCCTGCTTTGTGGGGTGCGTGTGGTGCCCCCTGACGCCCTACAGAGACCTACCCCAGGATCTGTGTCCTCTGTACAGGCCCGGGGAGTGGGAGGAGCTGCCGTCGGAGTGCGACCTCAACCCCTTCAGCCGCTACGAGGCGCTGGACCCCAAACGACCCATCGTCCTGGACGACATCAACTCTGCCCTGTCAGAGACTGGTATGACTGGGAGATGACACACAATGACTTGTATTGGATCAGGATAAATCATGGCAAATGAATTTGAATCATTACACATGTGTAGTTAAAAAGAAATCAAAACAAATTAGCTTAAGCATAATAATAATGTAGCAATATTTTGATCCATGTGGTCATTTTAATAACACAGCATTTCTTATATCCCAGTCATAGGAAGGGCAGCGTGTGAGCCAGCAGACCAGTCTCCATCAGATGAGGGTTTCACAGAGCTGGAGCTTCCCTTGAACGGGAGCACTGAGGAACCGAAGAGCGGATCCAGACCACCTGCCAGTGCTACCAACCAGGACCAGCAAGGAGAGCCCCCAGGATCTAATACCCCTAAACGGGTAAAGTCCCAGGACCAATCCCTCTCTGACCCAATCCCACTGACCTGGCAGAGAGGGGAGGAGGAGGATGAAGGACTGGTACAGAACAGCTCAATTGAGGACACGACAGAATCATTGCCTGTCTCATCAGAGACTGAGAAAGACCGTGAACTCTTGAAGGAGAAGCCTGCTAGCCTAGCCACAGTCCAAGACAAAAACTCTACAGGGCAACTAGTGAACAGTGTTAGCATTAGCGAACAATCAGAATCAGCAATGGACCAAAACAGGAAGCTGAGCTTCAGTGAGACCGCTGAGGCTCTGGGAAAATGTAGTTCTCGGGAACCCAGCCCTCCAGGCGAGCTGCAGAACGGACCAGTGGTAGAGGAGTGGCTGAGTGAGGAAGAGAAGCAGAAGAGGAGCAACAAAGCGGAGGTGAAGTCCTGGCTGCTGGAGAGGATGCAGGCGCCCATCCAAAGTGAGTGTTCACAAACACTTTACTAGCATTTTGTGTGGTTTCTTGTATTGCAGTGTTTGAATATTTTAAAATAAATCTCTCTGCAGACATGCTGCTGTCCACGGAGGAGAAGAGTAAGACCCCTCCCATGTTCCTTTGCCTCAAGGTGGGCAAGCCCATGAGGAAGTCCTTCGTCATTACCCGGTCATCCAGCCCCGCCCACACGAGAGGAAAACAGCCGGAGTACTGGTTTGCTGTGCCCCAGGAGAGGTGAGAGGTCAACCAATGAGACCACAGTCACAGCCAGAACCTCTTTATGACAACTGGTGTGTATTCACAATTTTATAAACTTTCAATAAATGTTCTGAATCATAAATGTGTGGTGTGTTTCAGGGTGGACCACCTATATGCATTTTTTGTCCAGTGGTCTCCTGATGTGTACGGTAAGGAGGCCAGGGAGCAGGGCTTCGTGGTCGTGGAGAAGGAAGAGCTCAACATGATCGATAACTTCTTCAGTGATCCCGTGACCCCTCGCAGCTGGGAGGTGAGTTCACACGGCATGATCCCTCGGATGAGTGTATTTTGACTGTGATGTTATGTTAACATTGTGGTCAAGGGTTGTGTGACTTTGTGGTTGTGTGTGCGTTTTAGAGTGGGTGGACCAAGCTGTGTTCAATGTTTGGACTAAGAGTTTTATCGGTTGAGTATGATTTGACTGTACGGTTGAGGTGTCTGACAGTACATGGTTGTGTTCGTAGATCATCACCATCAACGAGGCGAAGCGCAGGCAGAGTTTTGGCAGCTACGAAGGGGAGGAGCCTTCGGGGGATCTACTGCCCATGCTCAGTGACCCCAGCGCTCTGCTACAGGACACACACATAGAGAAGGTACACACACGCCATGACTCACAAAACACTTTCAATCAAGAAAACGTACCCACTGCAAGAGTGTGTGACTTCACCTACACAACCTATGCAGAAATGCACATCGACACACACTTCCCTGAATCTGTTTTTCTCTCTCCCCACAGCTTGCGTGTCGGCTGCCGGCGCGGGTGCAGGGGTATCCATGGAGACTGGCTTACAGTACGGTGGAACACGGGACCAGCCTAAAGACCCTGTACAGGAGCCTATTGGATGTGGACAGCCCTGTGCTACTGGTCATCAAAGACATGAACAACCAGGTACACACACACACACTGACAATGGTGCCCAATTTTTATTGGACTCTTGAGTTTTTAATTTATTCTCTCTCCCCCCATTAGTTGTTTGGGGGATACTCTACCCATCCCTTCAGAGTAAGTGAGCACAGCTATGGCACGGGAGAGACCTTCCTCTTCAGCTTCTGCCCTGAGATCAAGGTCAGACATACTCCTATTTATGTGTTTTATCCTCATACCTATGTTCAAGTTCAACACTATATGAGCTGTATGTCATTGCTTTGCTCTCTGACTTGTTATGGGTTGCTTTTCCTTTGCTCAGATGTACAACTGGACTGGGGAGAACTCCTACTTTGTTAAAGGCAACATAGATTCTCTTCAGATGGGAGGAGGAGGGTGAGTGTATTTAAATATATGTGGTTGAGCAATGTGAGACTATCTTTGTGAGAAGCACTGCCCTTGCAAACACATTGGTGGGGAAACAGCTGTTGGCTCAGCAGGGAAACTTGCTATATAAAGGCTGAAGGCTATCTTATAAAATACACATTTCAAAAAATATATTCAGCCTTTATGCTATTATCTACTTAAATTATTACTTTTAAGATGCAGCCACCACCTGTGATAATTGGTGATATCACAATGGTGATTTTTCTAACAGCATCTACTCCTCATCTTTTAGATTGTGTAGGCAAAGTTAATATTATTTCACACCTTGATTTATCTAATTTGTCTATGAAAAATAATCAGCTGCATGCGATTGAACAAGCCGCAAGAAGCGTGCGCTCCTGGCTATTTTAAATAAAAAACGTGCACATATTCGATAGAAGAAACAAAGAAACAGAAAGAAAAGTTATTTCAACCTTTTTTAAATAATTCAATGTATTTAATTTTCTCTAGAATCTAATTATAATAGCCTATAATAAAACTAGACCTACGATGTTTCCTTGAAAAGTTGACTCAAACAGCATATGTTGGATAGAAATTGGCTTTCGTAAGGTGCTGCGCAGATTCATTCATTTTCAGCACATTATGAGGAGTCTTTTAGGACATATTAGAGATTCTGAATTGCGGCTTGCTGTGGCCGACCCCCTTGAACATGCTATTTGTGGCGATTGGAGAAGTATTAGGCTACTAGTGATAAGCACCAATTTGTAAAGTGTGTACCAATAGGCTACAGTTGCATTTTTTCGAGGGATATATGACTGACTTGCACAGGTAGGAAAGTGTCCAGACGACTGTGTGCTGATTGCCAGTAGGCTAGGTGTGAATGTTCTGAAAGCTTAATTCTAATAAATAATCTGAATACAATCAGAACCCCATGGGCCATCAGCGGGAATGAGATGGTGCGCTAAACGGCAGCATCGCAGACAAACATCAGCGATTTATAAAATGTTCATATTGATATTAGACGTTAGCCTAAACTGTGAAAACTGTTCATGGTAAAACAAATCCAAAATAATGTATGCGATTGCAAAAATCGAATGCTTCTAATCGAAAGAGTCATCTTAACTTGATTCGTCATTAACGTGGTTCTTCAATAATTATTGGTTCTTCAATAATGATGCATATAGGCTAATACTTGATGGATGTGCATTTGGTATCCAGCTGTGTAGTTGTTGGCCTAGTGATATTGTCGACCGTCAGCTGATCCAGGAAATAGTTTTATGAATGACAGTCAAGTGACAAACTGTTGTGATAAACCGCGCGATGCAAAAACAGCCTAAGTGCGCGAAAAACGGTGTGGAAGAATGTCCAGTATATTTTGGTGCTTCATTCGTTACGCCCGTGAAGACAGTTATTCCGTGATCCACGTTGGATCCAACACCTGCTATTGTCTGCTTGATTTATAGCAGGGACTAGTTCGATTTAACAGAAAGCATCAAGGTCATGAATTCATGTTTTCATATGTTTCTGTGCGTCGATTGGACACTGAGTCTACTGTGGGCAATTGTGTAGGATAGGCTATTGGCAACACCTAACGGTATTTTCCTTTCTATTATTTAGGACATTAGAAGTTCAATGCAGCCGTTTTTATCTCATTAGTATTTCTGGGTAACAATAAAAAATAAAAATAAAATAAAGGCTTCTTAGCAAAGAGCAATATCTCAAGCAAGATTTTTGCCAGGACTGTCTGGGAGTGGTCTGAGTGGGGAGGGGAAAACTAGCTGTTATTGTCTGAGAGGTTTGGAACTCTTTTTCTTTCTTATTGGTCTATTAACTAATTTACCGCCTGGCAGGCCAAAACTCTATACCAAAACAGGCAGAAATGTCTGTCTTTTCAAACAGCTCTTACAGTAAAGGGGCATTATCATCATTTTCACAATTTCACAGAAATATACTGAACAAAAATGTAAACGCCATGCTCTACCAACTGAGCTACATCCCTGCCGGCAATTCCCTCCCCTACCCTGGACGACACTGGGCCAATTCGAACCATTATCTCTAGTGGCACAGCTAGCACTGCGATGCAGTGCCTTAGACCACTGTGCCACAGAAATTCTGTTAGTGAGCATTTCTCCTTTGCCAAGATAATCCATCCACCTGACAAGTGTGGCATATCAAGAAGCTGATTAAACAGCATGATCATTACACAGGTGCACCTTGTGTTGGGGACAATAAAAGGCCACTCTAAAATGTGCAGTTTTGTCACACAACACAATGCCACAGATGTCTCAAGTTTTGAGGGAGCGTGCAATGGCATGCTGACTGCAGGAATGTCCACCAGAGCTGTTGCCAGATAATTTAATGTTAATTTCACTACCATAAGACATCTCCAATGTCGTTTTAGAGAATTTGAGAGTACATCCAACCGGCCTCACAATCGCAGACCACATATATGGCATCGTGTGGGCGAGCGGTTTGCTGACGTTGTGAACAGAGTGCCCCATGGTTGCGGTGGGGTTACGGTATGGGCAGGCATAAGCTACGGAAAAGAACACAATTGCAATTAGATTTTTTTTAAATCTGTGACTAACAGATGCATATCTGTATTCCCAGTCGTGAAGTCCATCGATTAGGGCCTAATGAATTTATTACAATTGACTGATTTCCTTATATGAACTGTAACTCAGTAAAATCTTTGAAATTGTTGCATGTTGCGTTTTATATTTTTGTTCAGTGTATATATAAAACACAGGAAAATATCGTTTTTGACTGCACTGGGCCTTTAGGAATGACAACAAATGACAGTTTATATACAAAAAAGATCTGTTGATCAGGTTATGAAATGGCGTGACAGACATTTTGATGTCCATGTATCACCTGAAATAGCTAGCCTATTAAATTATAGGCTATGGCTACAAAGTTTTCGCCCCCACCCCTACGGAAACCTCTTTCTCAAAGCTAAGGATCCGGATCACGTTATGTGCATGTGTTATTTTACACACACTACACAGCTACTGCTCACACTCCACCTCCCTTTACGTTTCTCTATTTACTCACCCTCTTCTGAACCATGATGATGTAGCCCATCTCTGCCTCATATTTCTGTACGCAGTGTTGTACCCTCGCTGTCACGTTTTGCTTGACAAAAAGCCACGTAAACGTCTTTGTGTGACCTGCTCTCTCTCTGTTGAAGTCAACTTGTAGTTGCCATGTCGTTATGAGTTTGACTGACCTTTTCCTGTCTCTCTCCCTAGAGGTCAGATAGGGCTGTGGGTGGACGCTGACCTGCACCACGGCACCACCTCCAGCTGTGCCACATTCCACAACCAGCCCCTCTCCACCCAGAAGGACTTCACCATCCACAGTGTGGAGGTCTGGGCCTTCGAGTAGCCTCCCTCCACCTCCAGTCTCCCCCAAACCCAACCCACACTGGGGGGGAACCAAGACCTAGCTTCAACGCCCACCCCTTTACCAGAATGGGGAGCTGACGATTTGACATGGTTTATGCCAGCCGGTTTGATGTGGTTGGACCTGGTTTGTCCTGAGGGTGGTGGATGTGTGAAAATCTGTGGCTGGTTTATTTCCCTTTCACTCTATTTGTTACATTAAGGTTCTCGCATGCTTCCTAGTCAAAACGTGGCGCGCCGGTTCACGCATTTATTATGACGAGATTTTGACATTTTTGTTCGTTTTGGTGTTTGGCAGGGTTTTTTTCCAGCTGTTCACACACAAGTCTAAGTTCGGTAGCCTAAGTCTACTCCCCTTCGTCGGTGATTGGTCAACAGTAGGGATTCATCAAATCAAATTTTATTGGCCACATGCGCCGAATACAACAGGTGCAGACATTACAGTGAAATGCTTACTTACAGCCCTTAACCAACAGTGCATTTATTTTGAATAAAAAAGTAAAATAAAACAACAACAAAAAAGTGTTGAGAAATAAAAGAGCAGAAGTAAAATAAAATAACAGTAGGGAGGCTATATATACAGGGGGGTACCGGTGCAGAGTCAATGTGCGGGGGAACCGGCTAGTTGAGGTAGTTGAAGTAATATGTACATGTGGGTAGAGTTAAAGTGACTATGCATAAATAATTAACAGAGTAGCAGCAGTGTAAAAAGATGGGGTGGGGGGGCAGTGCAAATAGTCCGGGTAGCCATGATCAGCTGTTCAGGAGTCTTATGGCTTGGGGGTAGAAGCTGTTGAGAAGTCTTTTGGACCTAGACTTGGCACTCCGGTAACGCTTGCCGTGCGGTAGCAGAGCGAACAGTGTATGACTAGGGTGGCTGGAGTCTTTGACAATTTTGAGGGCCTTCCTCTGACACCGCCTGGTATAGAGGTCCTGGATGGCAGGAAGCTTGGCCCCAGTGATGTACTGGGCCGTACGCACTACCCTCTGTAGTGCCTTGCGGTCGGAGGCCAAGCAGTTGCCATACCAGGCGGTGATGCAACCAGTCAGGATGCTCTCGATGGTGCAGCTGTAGAATTTTTTGAGGATCTGAGGACCCATGCCAAATCTTTTCAGTCTCCTGAGGGGGAATAGGCTTTGTCGTGCCCTCTTCACGACTGTCTTGGTGTGTTTGGACCATGATAGTTCGTTGGTGATGTGGACACCAAGGAACTTGAAGCTCTCAACCTGTTCCACTACAGCCCCGTCGATGAGAATGGGGGCGTGCTCAGTCCTCTTTTTTTTCCTGTAGTCCACAATCATCTCCTTTGTCTTGGTCATGTTGAGGGAGAGGTTGTTATCCTGGCACCACACGGCCAGGTCTCTGACCTCCTCCCTATAGGCTGTCTCATCGTTGTCGGTGATCAGGCCTACCACTGTTGTGTCGTCGGCAAACTTAATGATGGTGTTGGAGTCGTGCCTGGCCATGCAGTCATGGGTGAACAGGGAGTACAGGAGGGGACTGAGCACGCACTCCTGAGGGCCCCCCGTGTTGAGGATCAGGGTGGCAGATGTGTTGTTACCTACCCTTACCACCTGGGGGCGGCCCGTCAGGAAGTCCAGGATCCAGTTGCAGAGGGAGGTGTTTAGTCCCAGGATCCTTAGCTTAGTGATGAGCTTTGAGAGCACTATGGTGTTGAATGCTGAGCTGTAGTCAATGAATAGCATTCTCACGTAGGTGTTCCTCTTGTCCAGGTGGGAAAGGGCAGTGTGGAGTGCAATAGAGATTGCATCATCTGTGGATCTGTTGGGGCGGTATGCAAATTGGAGTGGGTCTAGGGTTTCTGGGATAATGGTGTTGATGTGAGCCATGACCAGCCTTTCAAAGCACTTCATGGCTACAGACATCAGTGCTACGGGTCGGTAGTCATTTAGGCAGGTTATCTTAGTGTCCTTGGGCACGGGGACTATGGTGGTCTGCTTGAAACATGTTGGTATTACAGACTCAGTCAGGGACATGTTGAAAATGTCAGTGAAGACAATTGCCAGTTGGTCAGCACATGCTCGGAGTACACGTCCTGGTAATCCGTCTGGCCCTGCGGCCTTGTGAATGTTGACCTGCTTAAAAGTCTTACTCACATTGGCTACGGAGAGCGTGATCACATAGTCATCCGGAACAGCTGGTGCTCTCATGCATGCTTCAGTGTTGCTTGCCTCGAAGCGAGCATAGAAGTGGTTTAGCTCGTCTGGTAGGCTTGTGTCACTGGGAAGCTCGCGGCTGTGCTTCCCTTTGTAGTCTGTAATAGTTTTCAAGCCCTGCCACATCCGACGAGCATCAGAGCCGGTGTAGTACGATTCAATCTTTGTCCTGTATTGACTCTTTGCCTGTTTGATGGTTCGTCGGAGGGCATAGCAGGATTTCTTATAAGCGTCCGGGTTAGAGTCCCGCTCCTTGAAAGCGGCAGCTCTACCTCTTAGCTCAGTGCGGATGTTTCCTGTAATCCATGGCTTCAATTAAGTGTTGTCATTCAACGAGAGACGACTACTTTTCATGCACATTCTTTCACTTGAAAAATACTGCACCAAACATCTTAGCTAGATGTAAAATTGCACGACTAAGACCTCAGCAAAAAAAAAAAAAAAAACTACACATTTGTTGATTTCTTTTAGATTTATTAAAACTATTTTGAGGAAGTGTATACTGGCTATGTTGATGCTACGGCATTGCTCTCGTTTTTTTCAAATGGTCATTTATGGGAGTATGCGAGGCACAGATGTTCGCCTAGCTGAGTTCTGCTAGGAGCATACCGAATCTAGTATGCAGGCATCTTTATACCTACCACGCCACCCACAGCTATCCCAGCATGCAGCCTGCCTGCAGAACTCAAAACTTCTACCCACTCGGAGGGGGAAAAGTAGAGTGACTCAAGTTCCTGGAGGATTCTGCTGCAATTGTCCTAGCTAACGAAATCCGTCATAGGTGACTTTAAAAAACAATTAAAACAATGAATTGTGAGATTATTGCAAGTAGTGGGTGCAATGCCCATCAAGAGGAAATAAACACAACCATCAATTCTCTACAAACGGAGCCAATCAGAATATTCTGGTTGATAACAAAAGGAGCAATCTTATTTCCCTGAAATGTTAGGAACTGTTGTGAAAAGAGGAAGAAGGTGAAAGGGAAGAAGTTTTAGGTAGGGCTTAAGAGACTAATTTCTCTAAAACACATATCCGCCCCAAACCCACTTTAAATATAGGAGTAATTGTTTACAAAGAGAAGAGGCTTACATTCACTGAAGGTTGTATTGTTCTCATGTCTCCAGTCCTATATAGACTGAATGGGAATGTTGCATTGCATTTCATGACCCTCGCTTTCCAAAACAACTGCCCACTAAGAAGGGAACATGCAGTGCATTCGGAAAGTATTCAGACCTCTTAACTTTTTCCACATTTTGTTACGTTACAGCCTTGTTCTAAAATTGATTAAATTGTTTCCCCCCCTCAATCTACACTCAATACGCCATAATGACAAAGCAAAAATTGGTTTTTAGAAAGTTTTCCAAATATATATAAAAAATAATAATTACAGAACTGTGACATTTACACGAGTATTCAGACCCTTTGTTGAAGCACCTTTGGCAGCAATTACAGCCTTGAGTCTTCTTTGGTATGACGCTACAAGCTTGGCACACCTGTATTTGGGGAGTTTCTCCCATTCTATGCAGATCCTCTCAAGCTCTGTCAGGTTGGATAGCTGCACAGCTATATATATTTATATTTATATTTTAGTCATTTAGCAAACGCTCTTATCAAGAGCGACTTACAGGAGCAATTAGGGTTAAGTGCCTAGCTCAAGGGCACATCAACATTTTTCACCTAGTTGGCTCGGGGATTCGAACCAGCGACCTTTCAGTTACCGGCCCAACGCTCTTAACCACCCCCCCGTTCTTCACTGTCTCCACACATATGCTTCCCCATGTACCACTCCAACTTTAGTTGTTTCTATCTGTCTACCACCCACGCATTGTCTATCCATTATATTCTATATATTTTCAGGTCTCTCCAGAGATGTTCGATCGGGTTCAAGTCCGGGCTCTGGCTGGGCCACTCAAGGACATTCAGAGACTTGTCCCGAAGCCACTCCTGCGTTGTCTTGGCTGTGTGCTTAGGGTTGTTCTTCGCCCCAGTCTGAGGTCCTGCCGCTGAAAAACATCCCCTCAGCATGATGCACCGTAGGTATGGTGCCAGGTTTCCTCCAGACGTGACGCTTAGCATTCTGGCCAAATAGTTAAATCTTGGTTTTATCAGACCAGAGAATCTTGTTTCTCATGGTCAGAGTCCTTTCGGTGCCTTTTGGCAAACTCCAAGCGGGCTGTCATGTGCCTTTTACTGAGGAGTGGCTTCCGTCTGGCCACTCTACCATAAAGGCCTGATTGGTGGAGTGCTGCAGAGATGGTTGTCCTTCTGGAAGGTTCTCCCATCTCCACAGAGGAGCTCTGTCAGAGTGACCATCGGGTTCTTGGTCACCTCCCTGACCAAGGCCCTTCTCCCCCGATTGCTTAGTTTGGCCAGCTCTAGGAAGAGTCTTGGTGGTTCCAAACTTCTTCCATTTAAGAATGATGGAGGCCACTGTGTTCTTGGGGACCTTCAATGCTGCAGAAATGTTTTGGTACCCTTACCCAGATCTGTACCTCAACACAATCCTATCTCGGAGCTCCACGGACAATTCCTTCGACCTCATGGCTTGGTTTTTGCTCTGACATGCACTGTCAACCGTGGGACCTTATATAGACAGGTGTGTGCCTTTCCAAATCATGTCCAATCAATTTCAAATCTCATAGCAAAGGGTCTGAATGCTTATGTAAATAAGGTATTTGTTTTTTATTTGTAATACATTTGCAAACATTTCTAAAAATCTGTTTTGCTTTGTCATTATGGGGTATTGTGTGTAGATTGAGGAACAATATTTAATTTAATCCATTTTAGAATAAGGCTGTAACGTAACTAACTAAATGTGGAAAAATGGAAAGGGTCTGAATACTTTCTGAATGCACTGTAAAGGGGGAGGTTTTGCAATGAACAAATGTTGTTTTATTATACTTATCTGTTTTGTTTGTTTTATCACTTTTTATAATTTTTTGTCCACTTTGTTTTTAAAAAGAATGTATGCATTTTGAAATGGTGTCACCTTTTATAGAATTGTATGTTTAGTTTTGCGTTTCAATTTTCTGTGTTGTTTTAAAGGAAGTCCTGTCATCGGCCACAAGGTTGATACATCCAAAGCACGAAATGGATTGAAGGAAGTCAAGGCAGTATTACAGTCTGTCACATCTCTGACCAACTGTACCTTCTCTTTGTTTTAGATGTGTTTCTGTAAGTAGAGTGAGTTACTGCAGTGTGTGAATTTTTACATTTACATTTTAGTCATTTAGCAGACGCTCTTATCCAGAGCGACTTACAGTTAGTGAATACATCGGGTTTTTTTTTTAATACTGGCCCCCCGTGGGAATTGAACCCACAACCCTGGTGTTGCAAACGCCATGCTCTATCAACTGAGCTACATCCCTGCCGGCCATTCCCTCCCCTACCCTGGACGACGCTGGGCCAATTGTGCGCCGCCCATGAGTCTCCCGGTCGCGGCCGGCTGCGACAGAGCCTGGATTCGAACCAGGATCTCTAGTGGCACAGTTAGCACTGCGATGCAGTGCCTTAGACCACTGCGCCACTCGCAGTCGTTTAGTCCATTGAGCCAAGGGAAGGATGTCGTTTTGCACTGCAGGCTTGTAAGACAGTTAAATAACTCAAGGTGATTGGTCTGTGCAATTAACATAACATAAATCATTTGTGTGAATACCTTCCACTATTGTCACTTTCTACCACTACAACAGGGAAGGATGGGTGACTACTGATATATTATTTGGGAAAGAAAGGGATATACCTTTTTGTTTTTTTCTCAACGCGTTCTGTTGAGCTCTCGTGCCACTGTTGTTCTTTTTTATTTTCCAAAGCAATGTTGATAAAGGGAGTGTTCATTTCTGTCTCAAGTAGGTTACCGTAAGATGACTAGGTCTACTACATGATATGACAATACTGTAAGTGTTGAACATGTTCCTGCTCATATGACGTTCCCCTTCCTGCATTCCCACTATCCACAAATCCTTACAGGTGTGGCTTTGTTTTGTGAATGTGTTTCTATGTCATATAGATGTTGAGTGTTCTTCTCATTGTGAATGTTTCCAGTGTTTTATTTCCTGTGAATCCAAAACTACAGTGTCATATTATGTGAATACCACCAAGGATATATTTATTCTATTGTTGCCACATTTAAAACTAAATAAACAAATAGTACCACTCCATGCTGAGACTCCCCCCCCCCCCCCCCCCCCACACTTGCTTACTTTACTGTCTTATGTAGGCTACATAGGCACATTTAACTTTTATGTAACTATCCCCTAGGCTAGTAAGTAAAGATAAATCAATTTAGAAAAATAGTTAAATACTCAAACTGAGTAAATTGCTCAACATCTAGGGGACGTACGGTCGTGACTAGAAGGGATCCACCATTTGGCAAATTAACGTCTAAAGTAGAAACATTTAGCATTTTAGCTAACCCTAACCCTTTTCCTGACTGAAACCTAATTCTCAACCTGCTACGTTAATTATCCTAACCTGCTACAAAAGTAAAATCTGACATTAATTTGACAAAAGCTGGATCCCTTCTAGCCATGACCAGGGCATACCTGCAGGTGCTTAACTTGCGGGCAGGGACGGATTAATGCAGGGGCTTACCGGGGCTGAAGCCCCTGGGGGGCCCAAGAGGAAGCAAAAAATGATCATACAAGGAAATATATATTATGTATGTATGTATGTATGTGTATGTGTGTGTGTGTGTGTGTGTGTGTGTGTGTGTGTGTGTATACACTGCTCAAAAAAATAAAGGGAACACTTAAACAACACAATGTAACTCCAAGTCAATCACACTTCTGTGAGATCAAACTGTCCACTTAGGAAGCAACACTGATTGACAAATTTCACATGCTGTTGTGAAAATGGAATAGACAACAGGTGGAAATTATAGGCAATTAGCAAGACACCCCCAATAAAGGACTGGTTTTGCAGGTGGTGACCACAGACCACTTCTCAGTTCCTATGCTTCCTGGCTGATGTTTTGGTCACTTTTGAATGCTGGCGGTGCTTTCACTCTAGTGGTAGTGTAGTGTATGTTATTCGTAGGTGTTACCGTCAATCAAGGAGTCTGCTCATACTGAACGTCGATCATAAGGTTTATTCAGATCATAAGCTTCAGCATGAGTAACAGGTGACATGACACCCGGAGAGCAGTAGTGTCGTCCAATTCTGATGTCTGCTCTGACCTATCTTCTTCGTGTACCCCTATTTATAACCAATGCAACAAGATGGCTCCCTCTGCTGGCCAGTTTACAATACACTTCCTGTCTATTATATGTTACATTATACTAACAACCAACATTCCATTTCGTCATGAAAAACATTTAACAAAGGCATAATCTTCAGATACGATATTCCCCCCCTTTCGAGACGAAATAAACGTCTCGAAAACAAACAGAATAAGATTATGACTATTAACCATTTATCTCATTGAATATTCTTAACCTTAAACCCAAAAACATTCTCCTCTAGAGTGTAAATACCTTTCTATGAAATACCTGTTTATGAAGTGTAAATACATTACTATGACCCATGAAGAAATCTCTATGGAGTGTAAATACATTACTATGACATATGAACAACTGTTTATGAAGTATGAACACATTACTATGAATTATGAATAAATCTCTATGAAGTATGAACACATTACTATGAATTATGAATAACTCTTTATGGAGTGTAAATACATTACTATGAATTATGAATATATCTCTATGGAGTGTGAGAGCGAAAAACTGTCCAGCAGCCATCCATCCATATCAATCAAGACAGTAAAATTCTCTCACCGTCCCTCTGCCCCAGGCAACCACCGTCGGTACTCCAGATAACCTCATAACTCATGTAAATGCATTTACACTCCATAAAGAGTTATTCATAATTCATAGTAATGTGTTCATACTTCATAGAGATTTATTCATAATTCATAGTAATGTGTTCATACTTCATAAACAGTTGTTCATATGTCATAGTAATGTATTTACACTCCATAGAGATTTCTTCATGGGTCATAGTAATGTATTTACACTTCATAAACAGGTATTTCATAGAAAGGTATTTACACTCTAGAGGAGAATGTTTTTGGGTTTAAGGTTAAGAATATTCAATGAGATAAATGGTTAATAGTCATAATCTTATTCTGTTTGTTTTCGAGACGTTTATTTCGTCTCGAAAGGGGGGGAATATCGTATCTGAAGATTATGCCTTTGTTAAATGTTTTTCATGACGAAATGGAATGTTGGTTGTTAGTATAATGTAACATATAATAGACAGGAAGTGTATTGTAAACTGGCCAGCAGAGGGAGCCATCTTGTTGCATTGGTTATAAATAGGGGTACACGAAGAAGATAGGTCAGAGCAGACATCAGAATTGGACGACACTACTGCTCTCCGGGTGTCATGTCACCTGTTACTCATGCTGAAGCTTATGATCTGAATAAACCTTATGATCGACGTTCAGTATGAGCAGACTCCTTGTAGCATGAGACAGAGTCTACAACCCACACAAGTGGCTCAGGTAGTGCAGCTCATCCAGGATGGCACATCAATGCGAGCTGTGGCAAGAAGGTTTGCTGTGTCTGTCAGCGTAGTGTCCAGAGCATGGAGGCGCTACCAGGAGACGTGGAGGAGGCCGTAGAAGGGCAACTACCCAGCAACAGGACTGCTACCTCCGCCTTTGTGCAAGGAGGAGCAGGAGGAGCACTGCCAGAGCCCTGCAAAATGACCTCCAGCAGGCCACAAATGTGCATGTGTCTGCTCAAACGGTCAGAAACAGACTCCATGAGGGTGGTATGAGGGCCCGATGTCCACAGGTGGGGGTTGTGCTTACAGCCCAACACCGTGCAGGACGTTTGGCATTTGCCAGAGAACACCAAGATTGGCAAATTCGCCACTGGCGCCCTGTGCTCTTCACAGATGAAAGCTGGTTCACACTGAGCACGTGACAGACGTGACAGAGTCTGGAGACGCCGTGGAGAAAGTTCTGCTGCCTGCAACATCCTCCAGCATGACCGGTTTGGCGGTGGGTCAGTCATGGTGTGGGGTGGCATTTCTTTGGGGGGCCGCACAGCCCTCCATGTGCTCGCCAGAGGTAGCCTGACTGCCATTAGGTACCGAGATGAGATCCTCAGACCCCTTGTGAGACCATATGCTGGTGCGGTTGGCCCTGGGTTCCTCCTAATGCAAGACGATGCTAGACCTCATGTGGCTGGAGTGTGTCAGCAGTTCCTGCAAGAGGAAGACATTGATGCTATGGACTGGCCCACCCGTTCCCCAGACCTGAATCCAATTGAGCACATCTGGGACATCTTGTCTCGCTCCATCCACCAATGCCACGTTGCACCACAGACTGTCCAGGAGTTGGCGGATGCTTTAGTCCAGGTCTGGGAGGAGATCCCTCAGGAGACCATCCGCCACCTCATCAGGAGCATGCCCAGGCCTTGTAGGGAGGTCATACAGGCACGTGGAGGCCACACACACTACTGAGCCTCATTTTGACTTGTTTTAAGGACATTACATCAAAGTTGGATCAGCCTGTAGTGTGGTTTTCCACTTTAATTTTGAGGGTGACTCCAAATCCAGACCTCCATGGGTTGATAAATTTGATTTCCATTGATCATTTTTACGTGATTTTGTTGTCAGCACATTCAACTATGTAAAGAAAAAAGTATTTAATAAGATTATTTCATTCATTCAGATCTAGGATGTGTTATTTTAGTGTTCCCTTTATTTTTTTGAGCAGTGTGTATATATATATATATATATATATATATATATATATATATATATATTTCCTTGTATGATAATGGGACCCATCTCGTCCAAAAAGTTGACTCAAGTTGGATATACAGTGGGGAGAACAAGTATTTGATACACTGCCGATTTTGCAGGTTTTCCTACTTACAAAGCATGTAGAGGTCTGTACTTTTTAATCATAGGTACACTTCAATTGTGAGAGACGGAATCTAAAACAAAAATCCAGAAAATCACATTGTATGATTTTTAAGTAATTAATTTGCATTTTATTGCATGACATAAGTATTTGATACATCAGAAAAGCAGAACTTAATATTTGGTACAGAAACCTTTGTTTGCAATTAAAGAGATCATACGTTTCCTGTAGGTCTTGACCAGGTTTGCACACACTGCAGCAGGGATTTTGGCCCACTCCTCCATACAGACCTTCTCCAGATCCTTCAGGTTTCGGGGCTGTCGCTGGGCAATACGGACTTTCAGCTCCCTCCAAAGATGTTCTATTGGGTTCAGGTCTGGAGACTGGCTAGGCCACTCCAGGACCTTGAGATGCTTCTTACAGAGCTACTCCTTAGTTGCCCTGGCTGTGTGTTTCGGGTCATTGTCATGCTGGAAGACCCAGCCACGACCCATCTTCAATGCTCTTACTGAGGGAAGGAGGTTGTTGGCCAAGATCTCGCGATACATGGCCCCATCCATCCTCCCCTCAATACGGTGCAGTCGTCCTGTCCCCTTTGCAGAAAAGCATCCCCAAAGAATGATGTTTCCACCTCCATGCTTCACGGTTGGGATGGTGTTCTTGTGGTTGTACTCATCCTTCTTCTTCCTCCAAACACAGTGAGTGGAGTTTAGACCAAAAAGCTCTATTTTTGTTTCATCAGACCACATGACCTTCTCCCATTCCTCCTCTGGATCATCCAGATGGTAATTGGCAAACTTCAGACGGGCCTGGACATGCGCTGGCTTGAGCAGGGGGACCTTGCGTGTGCTGCAGGATTTTAATCCATGACGGCGTAGTGTGTTACTAATGGTTTTCTTTGAGACTGTGGTCCCAGCTCTCTTCAGGTCATTGACCAGGTCCTGCCATGTAGTTCTGGGCTGATCCCTCACCTTCCTCATGATCATTGATGCCCCACGAGGTGAGATCTTGCATGGAGCCCCAGACCGAGGTGATTGACCGTCATCTTGAACTTCTTCCATTTTCTAATAATTGCGCCAACAGTTGTTGCCTTCTCACCAAGCTGCTTGCCTATTGTCCTGTAGCCCATCCCAGCCTTGTGCAGGTCTACAATTTTATCCCTTATGTCCTTACACAGCTCTCTGGTCTTGGCCATTGTGGAGAGGTTGGAGTCTGTTTGATTGAGTGTGTGGACATGTGTCTTTTATACAGATAATGAGTTCAAACAGGTGCAATTAATACAGGTAATGAGTGGAGAACAGGAGGGCTTCTTAAAGAAAAACTAACAGGTCTGTGAGAGCCGGAATTCTTACTGGTTGGTAGGTGATCAAATACTTATGTCATGCAATAAAATGCAAATTAATTACTTAAAAATCATACAATGTGATTTTCTGGATTTTTGTTTTAGATTCCGTCTCTCACAGTTGAAGTGTACCTATGATAAAAATTACAGACCTCTACATGCTTTGTAAGTAGGAAAACCTGCAAAATCGGCAGTGTATCAAATACTTGTTCTCCCCACTGTATATATTACAGTGCTATGAAAAAGTATTTGCCCCATTTTTCAAATTTTCTCTACTTTTCCATATTTGTGATACTGAATGTTATCAGATCTTCAACCAAAACCTAATATTAGATAAAGGGAACATAAGTGAACAAATAACACAACAATTACATATTTATTTCATAAACAAAGTTATGCAACACCCAATTCCCCTGTGTGAAAAAGTAATTACCCCCGTACACTCAATAACTGGTTGTGCCACCTTTTAGCTGCAATGACTCCAACCAAACGCTTCCTGTAGTTGTTGATCAGTCTCTCACGTCGCTGTGGAGGAATTTTGGCCCACTCTTCCATGCAGAACTGCTTTAACTCAGTGACGTGTGGGTTTTCAAGCATGAACTGCTCGTTTCAAGTCCTGCCACAACATCTCAATTGGGATTAGGTCTGGACTTTGACTAGGCCATTCCAAACCTTCCAATTTGTTGCTTTTTAGAAAATTTCATGTAGACTTGATTGTGTGTTTTGGATCATTGTCATGCTGCATGACCCAGCTGCGCTTCAGCTTCAGCTCACAGATGTATGGTCTGACATTCTCCTTTAGAATTCTCTGATACAGAGCAGAATTCATGGTTCCTTCTATTAAGGCAAGTCGTCCAGGTCCTGAGGCAGCAAAGCATCCCCAAACCATCACACCACCACCACCACCTTTGGTATGATGTTCTTACTGTGGAATGCAGAGTTTGGTTTTCGCCAGGCATTACTGGAACCATGTTGAGCAAAAAGTTATACTTTTGAATAATCTGTCCATAGAACGTTCTTCCAAGAGTCTTGATGATCATCTAGGTGCTTTTTGGCAAACTTGAGTCAACTTTTTGGACGAGATGGGTCCCATTATGCCTGGCGAAAACCAAACACTGCATTCCACAGTAAGAACATCATACCAAAGGTCAAGCATGGTGGTGGTGGTGTGATTGTTTGGGGATGCTTTGCGGTCTCAGGACCTGGACGACTTGCCTTAATAGAAGGAACCATGAATTCTGCTATGTATCAGATAATTCTACAGGAGAATGTCAGACCATCCGTCTGTGAGCTGAAGCTGAAGCGCAGCTGGGTCATGCAGCATGACAATGATCCAAAACACACAATCAAGTCTACATGAACATTTCTAAAAAGCAACAAATTGGAAGGTTTGGAATGGCCTAGTCAAAGTCCAGACCTAATCCCAATTGAGATGTTGTGGCAGGACTTGAAACGAGCAGTTCATGCTTGAAAACCCACACGTCACTGAGTTAAAGCATTTCTGCATGGAAGAGTGGGCCAAAATTCCTCCACAGCGACGTGAGAGACTGATCAACAACTACAGGAAGCATTTGGTTGGAGTCATTGCAGCTAAAGGTGGCACAACCAGTTATTGAGTGTAAGGGGGTAATTACTTTTTCACACAGGGGAATTGGGTGTTGCATAACTTTGTTTATGAAATAAATATGTAATTGTTGTGTTATTTGTTCACTTATGTTCCCTTTATCTAATATTAGGTTTTGGTTGAAGATCTGATAACATTCAGTATCACAAATATGCAAAAGTAGAGAAAATTAGAAAGGGGGCAAATACTTTTTCATAGCACTGTATGTGTGTATATGTGTGTGTGTGTATATATATATGTATGTATATACAGTGGGGAGAACAAGTATTTGATACACTGCCGATTTTGCAGGTTTTCCTACTTACAAAGCATGTAGAGGTCTGTAATTTTTATCATAGCTACACTTCAACTGTGAGAGACGGAATCTAAAACAAAAATCCAGAAAATCACATTGTATGATTTTTAAGTAATTAATTTCCATTTTATTGCGTGACATAAGTATTTGATACATCAGAAAAGCAGAACTTAATATTTGGTACAGAAACCTTTGTTTGCAATTAAAGAGATCATACGTTTCCTGTAGGTCTTGACCAGGTTTGCACACACTGCAGCAGGGATTTTGGCCCACTCCTCCATACAGACCTTCTCCAGATCCTTCAGGTTTTGGGGCTGTCGCTGGGCAATACGGACTTTCAGCTCCCTCCAAAGATTATCTATTGGGTTCAGGTCTGGAGACTGGCTAGACCACTCCAGGACCTTGAGATGCTTCTTACGGAGCCACTCCTTAGTTGCCCTGGCTGTGTGTTTCGGGTCGTTGTCATGCTGGAAGACCCAACCACGACCCATCTTTAATGCTCTTACTGAGGGAAGGAGGTTGTTGGCCAAGATCTCGCGATACATGGCCCCATCCATCCTCCCCTCAATACGGTGCAGTCGTCCTGTCCCCTTTGCAGAAAAGCATCCCCAAAGAATGATGTTTCCACCTCCATGCTTCACGGTTGGGATGGTGTTCTTGGGGTTGTATTCATCCTTCTTCTTCCTCCAAACACGGTGAGTGGAGTTTAGACCAAAAAGCTCTATTTTTGTCTCATCAGAGCACATTACCTTCTCCCATTCCTCCTCTGGATCATCCAGATGGTCATTGGCAAACTTCAGACGGGCCTGGACATGCGCTGGCTTGAGCAGGGGGACCTTGCGTGCGCTGCAGGATTTTAATCCATGACGGCGTAGTGTGTTACTAGTGGTTTTCTTTGAGCCTGTGGTCCCAGCTCTCTTCAGGTCATTGACCAGGTCCTGCCGTGTAGTTCTGGGCTGATCCCTCACCATCTCATGATCATTGATGCCCCACGAGGTGAGATCTTGCATGGAGCCCCAGACCGAGGGTGATTGACCGTCATCTTGAACTTCTTCCATTTTCGAATAATTGCGCCAACAGTTGTTGCCTTCTCACCAAGCTGCTTGCCTATTGTCCTGTAGCCCATCCCAGCCTTGTGCAGGTCTACAATTTTATCCCTGATGTCCTTACACAGCTCTCTGGTCTTGGCCACTGTAGAGAGGTTGGAGTCTGTTTGATTGAGTGTGTGGACAGGTGTCTTTTATACAGGTAACGAGTTCAAACAGGTGCAGTTAATACAGGTAATCAGTGGAGAACAGGAGGGCTTCTTAAAGAAAAACTAACAGGTCTGTGAGAGCCGGAATTCTTACTGGTTGGTATGTGATCAAATACTTATGTCATGCAATAAAATGCAAATTAATTACTTAAAAATCATACAATGTGATTTTCTGGATTTTTGTTTTAGATTCCGTCTCTCACAGTTGAAGTGTAGCTATGATAAAAATTACAGACCTCTACATGCTTTGTAAGTAGGAAAACCTGCAAAATCGGCAGTGTATCAAATACTTGTTCTCCCCACTGTATATGTATATATATATGTGTGTGTGTGTGTGTGTGTGTGTGTGTGTATATATATATGTGTGTGTATATGTATGTGTATATATGTATGTTTATGTGTATGTATGTATGTATGTGTGTGTATGTATGTATGTATGTATATATATATATATATATACACTGCTCAAAAAAATTAAGGGAACACTAAAATAACACATCCTAGATCTGAATGAATGAAATAATCTTATTAAATACTTTTTTCTTTACATAGTTGAATGTGCTGACAACGAAATCACACCAAAATTATCAATGGAAATCAAATGTATCGACCTCCATGGAGGTCTGGATTTGGAGTCACCCTCAAAATTAAAGTGGAAAACCACACTACAGGCTGATCCAACTTTTATGTAATGTCCTTAACACAAGTCAAAATGAGGCTCAGTAGTGTGTGGCCTCCACGTGCCTGTATGACCTCCCTACAACGCCTGGGCATGCTCCTGATGAGGTGGCGGATGGTCTCCTGAGGGATCTCCTCCCAGACCTGGACTAAAGCATCCGCCAACTCCTGGACAGTCTGTGGTGCAACGTGGCGTTGGTGGATGGAGCGAGACATGTCCCAGATGTGCTCAATTGGATTCAGGTCTGGGGAACGGGCGGGCCAGTCCATAGCATCAATGCCTTCCTCTTGCAGGAACTGCTGACACACTCCAGCCACATGAGGTCTAGCATTGTCTTGCATTAGGAGGAACCCAGGGCCAACCGCACCAGCATATGGTCTCACAAGGGGTCTGAGGATCTCATCTCGGTACCTAATGGCAGTCAGGCTACCTCTGGCGAGCACATGGAGGGCTGTGCGGCCCCCCAAAGAAATGCCACCCCACACCATGACTGACCCACCGCCAAACCGGTCATGCTGGAGGATGTTGCAGGCAGCAGAACGTTCTCCACGGTGTCTCCAGACTCTGTCACGTCTGTCACGTGCTCAGTTTGAACCTGCTTTCATCTGTGAAGAGCACAGGGCGCCAGTGGCGAATTTGCCAATCTTGGTGTTCTCTGGCAAATGCCAAACGTCCTGCACGGTGTTGGGCTGTAAGCACAACCCCCACATGTGGACGTCGGGCCCTCATACCACCCTCATGGAGTCTGTTTCTGACCGTTTGAGCAGACACATGCACATTTGTGGCCTGCTGGAGGTCCTTTTGCAGGGCTCTGGCAGTGCTCCTCCTTGCACAAAGGCGGAGGTAGCAGTCCTGCTGCTGGGTTGTTGCCCTCCTACGGCCTCCTCCACGTCTCCTGATGTACTGGCCTGTCTCCTGGCAGCGCCTCCATGCTCTGGACACTACGCTGACAGACACAGCAAACCTTCTTGCCACAGCTCGCATTGATGTGCCATCCTGGATGAGCTGCACTACCTGAGCCACTTGTGTGGGTTGTAGACTCTGTCTCATGCTACCACTAGAGTGAAAGCACCGCCAGCATTCAAAAGTGACCAAAACATCAGCCAGGAAGCATAGGAACTGAGAAGTGGTCTGTGGTCACCACCTGCAAAACCAGTCCTTTATTGGGGGTGTCTTGCTAATTGCCTATAATTTCCACCTGTTGTCTATTCCATTTGCACAACAGCATGTGAAATTTATTGTCAATCAGTGTTGCTTCCTAAGTGGACAGTTTGATTTCATAGAAGTGTGATTGACTTGGAGTTACATTGTGTTGTTTAAGTGTTCCCTTTATTTTTTTGAGCAGTGTATATATATATATATATATATATATATATATATATATATAAAAAACATTTTACTGCACCCGCCAACCACAGGAGGACTCAGGCGCTTCAATGTTCCTTGGCTTAGATTCTACAAGTGGACCTAAACCATGCCAGGAAAATGCACCCCACACCATAACGTATACTTTGTATCCCTTGTTAACTCGAGTGTTTTCTTTATTTTGGCAGTTACCGGTATGGCTGCAGTTTGGGCAGCATGCAGAACAAATATACAGCTTGTTGTGTTGTGGCCAGACACATAGCCGCGGGAAGTAGGGGTGCTGTGGGTGCCCAAAAAAAAAATTCTGAAAAAAAATATATTAATACAAATATATAATTTTTGAAAAATATACTTTCACAAAAGTAATGCACTGGGCATTTACTAGTATTAACGGCCCAATATAGATATCTGTAGCATGGGCAAAAAACATTCTGCATCTCCACATTGGCAAAAAAGTAGTTGTATAATTAAGAACAGTATCTTGAAGGATTCAATAGTATTAATGGACCAATATAGTGTTGTGGAAATTCTAACCAGAAAGGAAGAGACTGCAGATTCTTCAAAACAACTTATTTCATTGTAAGATTTGCAAATCTGGAGCAGTTAACAATCACTCAAAATGTGCATAGTTAAGAGCCCAACAAAAAATACTGCACTTGGGTGGTGTGACAACCAGACAGAGCAATAGCTGTGAGGAAGCACTTGTTGGTGACGCAAATGTGCAGCCAAATGACTATGGAACTGAGAGGCTGCGGTTGGTCTGTGGTGAGGTCTTGTTGAGAAATGTCACACCATTTTTCAGTGCTCATTGTCGCAACACTGTTTATCAAAGGAATCGAAACCATTTGTGTTGGTCGTCTCTCACAGCTTAGTTCAGTCTACTGCTAAATAACAGGATTTATAACAACAGCATTTGGCTGTAAATCCAGAACCATGAGTCAGTCACGTAGACAAAATGTAGTGTTCTAGCAGAGGGAGCAAGTCTTATTAGTACATTGTGACTTTAGTTAAATGCATAGATACACTGGATAAACATTATAACAGCATTTTTTCCCCACCATAATAGATATCTGTAGCATGGACCCAAAAAAACATTCAGCATCTCCACATTGCCAAAAAAGTAGTTGTATAATTAAGAACAGTATCTTGCAGGATTCAATAGTTGGAATTGTAAGAGTTGTTGCCCTGTCCCTTTCTCTGTGATTGTCATTCTAATGGAATCCAGAAAGAACAAAACCCTGTCCTCTAACATTTACTTCAAAAAGGTGCAAAGTTATGGGCAAAAACACAAAACATCCACATCAAATTAAATATTTTTCTTGATCAAATAACATGGAAAACAACCACTTTTTGTGCAGTATTAATTTACCATCCTTACAAACCGCTTAATGTAAAAGTACATTACTGTATTGTACATAGACTGGTCATCTAGGTTTGTACCTGTAGACTTTCCATCACCATGAAGAAAGATTATGCACAATACAGTAATTTAGTACATTGAGACATCAAGTGGTTTGTGATGATGTGGCTCAGTTCGTAGAGCATGGCGCTTGCAATGCTAGGGTTGTGGGTTCGATTCCCACAGGGGACCAGTACGAAAATGTACTCACTACTGTAAGTTGCTCTGAATAAGTTGGTCTACTAAAATGGAAAAGGAATTAATAGACCATTTCAGTTTCCCCATAGAAATAAGTTGCATTTGCAAAGTATTTCAAGAAACTGGAAAACATATCAAGCAAGTATTTTTACATTCCACAAGTATTATCAGATTAACTGTTTTGTACAGATAATTATCGCTCAAGTTACAAATGCTGGTAATCACTCAAATACATTTAGTTTAAATTTTTTCACAAAAGTAGTGCACTGATCCTTTACTATTCCTGTATTAGTGGACTGATATATCATGAACAAAAACATAAATGCAACAATTTCAATGTTTTAACGGAGTTACAGTTCATTTAAGAAAATCTGTCAATTGAAATAAATTCATTAGGCCCAGAGCATTGATGTTCTAAAAACTTTTCAGACAAATCTAAGAAAGGACCATGGGAAGATTTCTCTCATGACATCTTTGACTTTCAAGAAAGTGTTCTTGAAGATGGAAGAACTGTAAGCGGTACAAAAAATTTGGGGTGTTGAGGTTTGACCTCATCGCCAAGAAGCTGAAACAGATGTGAGTGTTGATGTCTGAGCCCATGTCCAGCAGCAGCTTGACCACAAGGACATGACCGTTCATGGCATCCAGCATCAGAAGAGAGATACCCAGTGTACTTCCTAGTCCTGACAGGAAACAAATACACAGTGAGAGAGGAGCAGACAGGGAGAGGGGGAAACATGTGGACAGGGATAATTATACACACAGTTCAGAGTGGGAAAAATCTTTGTGACTGACAGGGAAGGTTGTGTGTTTCAGAGGTTGATAAACTGTCGTATCTGGAGTTGATTTCAGCGCCAGCATTCAGGAGGATCTTGATGAAGTTGATGTAGCCCCCTGAGGCGGCCAGGCTGAGAGGAGTGTAATCTGAAACGTTACAGTGCTCATTGTTGGCCCCACGCAGCAGCAACAGTTTTACTACCTGGAAGGAATGGACCACAGGTTATTATTGGGGAATTTCCACTAAGGCCATACCCCAGTGTTTTATCAAAAAGTTAACAATTAATTAATGTGATGTTCAGGGAAGAATGTGTTTTAGTGAAGAGCAGGACCTCTTGTCTTCCTAGAGAGCAGACCAGGGAGAGAGGTGTGTTTTTGGTTCTCTTATACTGTTCTCTCAGACTGGGCTTCGATGTCCTCACCTTTATCCAGTAGGATCTCCACCACGCCAATATGACCCGTTGAAGCAGCCAGGATTAGAGGAGTGAAACCAGGGGACAGAGAGATTACTCTCCAACACCTACAGTTGAAGTCGGAAGTTTACATACACTTAGGTTGGAGTCATTAAAACTCGTTTTTCAACCACTCCATTGGTTAGGACATCTACTTTGTGAATGACAAGTCATTTTTCGAACAATTGTTTGCAGACATAATATTTCACTTATAATTCACTGTATCACAATTCCAGTGGGTCAGAAGTTTACATACACTATGTTGACTGTGCCTTTAAACAGCTTGGAAAATTCCAGAAAATGATGTCATGGCTTTAGAAGCTTCTAATAAGGCTAATTGACATAATTTGAGTCAATTGGAGGTGTACCTGTGGATGTATTTCAATGCCTACCTTCAAACTCAGTGCCTCTTTGCTTGACATCATGGGAAAATCAAAATAAATCAGCCACGACCTCAGAAAAAAAATTGTAGACCTCCAACAGTCTGGTTCATCCTTGGGAGCAATTTCCAAACGCCTGAAGGTACCACGTTCATCTGTACAAACAATAGTATGCAAATATAAACACCATGGGACCACGCAGCCGTCATACCGCTCAGGAAGGAGATGCGTTCTGTCTCCTACAGATGAACGTACTTTGGTGCGAAAAGTGCAAATCAATCCCAGAACAACAGCAACCTTGTGAAGATGCTGGAGGAAACAGGTACAAAAGTATCTATATCCACAGTAAAACGAGTCCTATATCGACATAACCTGAAAGGCCGCTCAGCAAGGAAGAAGCCACTGCTCCAAAACCGGCATAAAAAAGCCAGACTACGGTTTGCAACTGCACATGGGGATAAAGATCGTACTTTTTGGAGAAATGTCCTCTGGTCTGATGAAACAGAAATAGAACTGTTTGGCCATAATGACCATCGTTATGTTTGGAGGAAAAAGGGGGATGCTTGCAAGCCGAAGAACACCATCCCAACCGTGAAGCACGGGGGTGGCAGCATCATGCTGTGGGGGTGCTTTGCTGCAGGGGGGACTGGTGCACTTCACAAAATAGATGGCATCATGAGGAAGGAAAATTATGTGGATATATTGAAGCAACATCTCAAGACATCAGTCAGGAAGTTAAAGCTTGGTCGCAAATGGGTCTTCCAAATGGACAATGACCCCAAGCATACTTCCAAAGTTGTGGCAAAATGGCTTAAGGACAACAAAGTCAAGGTATTGGAGTGGCCATCACAAAGCCCTGACCTCAATCCTATAGAAAATGTGTTGGCAGAACTGAAAAAGCGTGTGCGAGCAAGGAGGCCTACAAACCTGACTCCGTTACACCAGCTCTGTCAGGAGGAATGGGCCAAAATTCACCCAACTTATTGTGGGAAGCTTGTGGAAGGCTACACGAAACGTTTGACCCAAGTTAATCAATTTAAAGGCAATGCTACCAAATACTAATTGAGTGTATGTAAACTTCTGACCCACTGGGAATGTGATGAAATAAATAAAAGCTGAAATAAATCATTGTCTAGTATTATTTTAACATTTCACATTCTTAAAATAAGGTGTTGATCCTAACTGACCTAAGAAAGGGAATTTTTACTAGGATTAAATGTCAGGAATTGTGAAAAACAGAGTTTAAATGTATTTGGCTAGAGTGTATGTAAACTTCCGACTTCAACTGTACATACACAGATAGACTCCCACTTCTACACACAAACTATCAATTTCTCAGAAATATTGACATATAAATATAAAAATATAGCTACGTGGTGATGTAGATGTGCATCGATGTCCAGAGGGGGAGCATGGAGGGTGGGGACACTGAATTGATGGGCATCTGTTCTGTGGGTATGGGCGAGGTTGTAGTGTTCAACATAGACACTCTACTGCTCACCGCTCCTGTACCAGGGGGAGAGGAAGAGATAACTGTTAATAAGAGAGTATCGTATCTGAAGATTATGCCTTTGTTAAATGTTTTTCATGAAGAAATGGAATGTTGTTTGTGTTAGTATCAAGAGGGAATGTTTTGGGTGTGACGTCACATACAACAGACCGGAAGTGTGTTGTAGACACGGGGATTGGACAGTAGAGGGAGCCACTCACATCTTGGAAGGTTATATATAAGGGGGGAACAACGACGGAGGGGCAGAGCGAGCAGCCATTCGGAGGCGTCGCTCTCCGGGTGTCATGTCACCTGTCATTTATGCTGTAACCTCGTGATTTTAATAAAAGCCTCTAACACGATGCAGCATAAATGGACTCTTTGTTGACAGCAATAATGGCCACCATTCACCCGATACGACAAGAGCCTTCAAATTATAACTAAATCAAATTACATTAGAATTTAAGATTTCATTTAGAAGCAGTTGTGAATTATGTTGAAAATGTGTTGAAACCATGTTCAGCATTAAGGAAAAGGATGGGGGACAGAACACCCACCCTACTTTTTGTTATTACAAGAATAAGGAAAGTGAAGAACCAGCTTCTACAGTAACTGCTCACATACCTGCCATGATGTCGTCCAGCGTGTCTGTGCGGGGAAGGCCACTATGAGTCTGTCGGGGGACTGAGTGAGAAGGCCCAGTCCCAGGCCTATCAACTGCTGCCCCAACATCTACTGCTGGCTCACCATCAGCCTCAGCAGGTCAGGGCAGGAGCTGTCAGGGTATTCTGCTGTATTAAAGTCTAGAATGCTGAGTGGCCAAGGTAAGAAGCTACAGGGGTAGGGGGTGCCCCGGGTCATCCTTCAGGCCTTTGGCCTTCATGTACTCTTTGGTGAACTGCTCCTTGAGGATCTTCTTCTTCTGCAGCTCTGCCTTCTCTATGTCTAAGATCCTTTGGCTCATTCAGCCTGCTCTCTGTCTCTTCCACAATGCACTCCAGGGGCTGGTACAGGTAGAAGGGGGGCAGCAGGTATGTGTCTGGACCGTCTGCAGTGATGTATTACCCTGGAAGGGGCTCAGCCTCTGCTTGGAACCGCCTGAGACAGCCACACAGGACAACACAACCAGTTAGCTACAAGGTTGTACCATACAATATTACAGTAATCATTATAACGCTTTGATGCCTTGTGCACTCAACTGCTGTCTAGTTGTCTTGTTGGTCATGGAATTAACAAAGTTAGACCTGTATTTACTATTGGACTGAGCTTTTGTGATGAAAGGTGGAGGTGTTGTGATGTTGGAGGGTACTCTGTCTGGCGCTTGGGGAGGCAATACCATGGCCAGGGCTTGGAATGGAAGTTGTGGAGCCTGTTTGGGTTAGGGCAGATATTACAAAAGTATATTTGGTATCAATATTTGGTATCAACTTATAAAAATGTGATGTTAATACAACTACATCAAGACAAATAAACATACATGTTTGTAGTAGCTGTTTGTCTATTAGTAAGCCAGCAGTCCCTACCTGAGAGGTGTCATGGGAGGGGGATGAGAGCTGAGATACAGTAGGTTTGGCACGGGGCCCGAAAGGATGTTGTTGGGGTAGTCAAGGAGGTAGGACACCCCGATGGTGTGACCACCCTTAGCACCTCCTTCTCCTCTTCACTCTTCTTTACTTCCTTGTCCTCCTCGTCGCTGGTGGACGATTCTAAGATCTCGCTCATGTCCATCTTCCAAATGTCAGGGACCACCTTGTTTTTGAGGAAATACACTGCCCCGTCCAACCCTGGGATTAGCCAGATCAATTGTATTTCAATTCAGTTAAATAAGACATTTGAGTTCTCCATAAGAATGCCCATTCAGTTCTTGAACTAAGTGGAATTGTGAGTGTAGAGCTCCCTAAGTGAGCCATCCTTATCTTTCCTTGACGAGAACTCAGGCTTAGAGATGCTGTCCATGTTCACTTTATGGATCTCCTTTCTGGCCACAGTGTGACAATTTTTTCAAATATCTAAATACATGTGCATTCAGCAAAACATTTCACCAATTGTGAGAAGATTATATTAGCAAAAAAAAACATGCCTATTTACATTGCCCTTGGCTATAACATGTATGACAGGACAAAAATCAAACAAGATATAATATTTGTAAACTAAACCTAATTTCCTTATAACTATATGACACAAAAGTAGGATAAACAATGCTTACAATTTGGAGTCTGCAAATGACCTCACTAAACATTGGTCCTTCTTGACTTTCATTAGAGGGGTTCTGTCCCCCTTCGATTCATGTTTCTGCAAGACAAACAGAAAGACAGGAGTGAGTAAAACGGACACATGGAAACACATATTCAAGCAGTCATGCATCTAAACAACACCCAGACTGTGCCCTAAATGGCACCCTATTCCCTATAAAGTGCCCTACTTTTGACAAGAGCCCTCTGGGCCCTGGTAAAAAGTAGTGCACTATAAAGGGAATATGGTGCCATTCGGGAAGCACGCCGACATTTATGCAAACTTGTGAACAACTCATGCAAAATGGCTGTGAATTGACATGAACTGTGTTTCCCAGAGATAAGGCCAGAGGGTTAGGGAGAGGTCTAACCAGGTCAGCCCCCGTCTGCAGCAGCACGTCAGCCACGTCTGTGTGTCCGTTCTCTCAGGCGTACATCAGCGCTGTGTCTCCCATCGCAGTGGCGGCATGGACATTGGCTCCTGTGTACAAGAACACAGGTGTAAATTACACCCCGAGTGTTGTGTGTGATCTGGATAAAAAAATAAAAACTTGAGAAGATGTTGGGTTTGGTGATAGGCAAGTGAATTTTGATAATGTATGAATTGAGGATGAGACAATCTCAAATAGAGGTTGGTAGAGTTTGGTTTGAGAGAACCAAACAGAGAGGCTGTCCAGTTAGAAGAGGTTCTGCTCACTTGCAGCCAGCAGGTATTTGACCAGCTCCAGGTGTCCCTCTATGAGAAGTGTTGAGCAGCCCAGCTTAATGTTGGCCCCGGCAGGGCCGTCTCCTGGGTCTCCTCCGTCTGAGCGTTGATGTTGGTACCTGCAGACAACAGAGACTACACTCTTAGAAAAAAAGGTGCTATCTAGAACCTAAAAGGGTTATTCGGTTGACCTTATAGGAGAACCCTTTGAAGAACCTTTTTGGTTCTAAGTAGAACCCGTTTGGGTTCCATGTAGAAACCTTTCCACACAGGGTTTTACATTGAATGCAAAAGGGTTCTACCTGGAACCCAAAAGGGTTCTACTTGGAACCAAAAAGGGTTATCCTATGGGGACAACCGAATAACTATTTTAGAACCCTTTTTTCTAAGAGTGTACAGAGGAAGGATTGAAGATGGCCTTGCAGGGAATGCACTTACTAAAGGGGTACTAATCTACTGTTGGCTATTGAAAAATGATTTAAATTTGTTTTGGAACAGCCAGCTTGTCCTTTTTGCATCCACTCAATAAGATAATGAGCTTAAAACGTAATATAATCATATCACTTGATAATTTTGTTTCCAAAAGAGGGGTTTCGTATTTTGCCTCAACAATGAGCTTGGACGGTCAATATGGTAGGTAAAATCTCTAAACAGAAGCACTAGCTAGTTTAATTCAAACCCAGAGAGCGAGAGCCCATTCCTTGTGCCAAAAGCAGCACCACCATGTCCTCTTGGCCCTCTTGTGCAGCCTCTATGAGTGGAGTGTATCCCTCATCATTGACCTCCTCCAGGTTGGCACCCCTCTCGATCAGCAGGGCCGCCAGCTCGCTGTCTCCCCTTCAGGGCGCCAGTGTCAGGATAACCGAGTTCGGCCCAAGTCCTGGTGCTAGCTGGACTGTGTTACAGATGAGCTAACATGTAAGCCCGTAAGAACACATACAGTTTGATAGCTTCGTTGGGAGTAGTGTGTGGAGGCAGATTATTCTCTGCCATTGCAAAGCATGAAATGTAAAAAACAGTCTCATGACAAGGGTATGGACCTCTCTGAAGGCCTTCCTCTCTACATGCCTGTATTTGTTGTTGAGAGAGTCCTTTCAGGTGATCCCTGGTCCCATACAGCTGTGGAAGGCTGTCCATAAGCAGTGGACGGCCATGCGGCGCTACAACGTATCTGCAGGGGTGGATTCTGTGAGTGTTCCAGAGGTGAACAACATGCTGCAATTCTTCCTATAAGATAAAAAACACAAGGACAAAATAATTTGGTTAGTCACAATATTTCCATAAATATACATTTCCTGCCTTAGTTAAGGGTAAACTGTGATGGTTAGTTGTGAACTCTTAACCTATAATTTTGGCATGAGTATAGCTGTGCAGATATGAATCAACCTTTTACTCCATTCAACCCACATAATCATTCATTTTAGGCTGACAAATTATTGAAAAGCTTTTGGTGAAATATGCCCCTCTCTGACCAATAATGTATTGACAATATGTCTGGACCCGTTTTAAGGGACCAGTTTTGGCTTATGACCTCCCACAGAGGCAAATCTTATACAGAACAGTAAAACATATATATTTTTTAATACAGCTATTACATTTTAGTAGACGCTCTTATCCAGAGCAACTTACAGTTAGTGAGTGCATACATTTCTTCATACTGGCCCCCCGTGGGAATCGAACCCACAAGCCTGGCGTTGCAAGCGCCATGCTCTACCAACTGAGCTACAGGAGGCTATGCGTTCCAGTCATCCCAAAATTGCTGCATGTAGGCTATTTTTCTATTGCCTCTGCGTGAGGCCTCTCTTATTAACTTGTGGTTCCGGGATGTGCAAATAATAGTCATTTCGATTAATGATAATGTTGTTGCCTGTATAGGCCCATTGAATAGCGTAGTGTAGCAGCATTGTCTTACCTTAAGCCAAAATGTAAGGTTTATTTTATAAATAACATACATTTGGAAAACTATAGGCTTTCAATTTGCCTTTTATAATGAAGTATGGGTTACACTTGATTTGGATAGTCCCTATGATCTACAGATGCTCAAACTATTAACTGCAACTGTTGATATGCAACAGCTTGGTGGGGTTTTGGTTAAGGGTTAGGGTAAGGGTTAACGTTATAAGGTTAGAGCTAGGTTATAGGGTTAGTGGATCTAGGTTATAGGGTTAGTGGATAGTTTACATTATGTTGACTGTTACTTGAACATAATTTAACTTACCTCGATTATTTGTAGACAGGTGAATAATATTACATTATTGTCCACAAAGTCACCAGAAAAATGTCCTTCAAATCTGTTCATCCAGTACTGAACATGGTGTTTGCTTAAAATATCCCCACCAGCTCTCTATCAGCTGGATGTGGTTCCTGGACCCATATAAGTTACAGTATATGGCATTTTCTAGCGAATTCGTCCCCATTGTCATGTCTCAAAAACAACTGTATCTGCTCCATACAATTGTTTTCTGTTCCCAGGTCAGATCGAATTAGAGGAGCACCCATCCTGGATCCAACCTCATCCATGAAGTAACCAGCGATAACTTTTGGATTGCTATTGGTAGAATAGGAATGGAGCCAAATAACCATTCGTGAGAACCCATCAATTGCGCCATTAAAACAAATGCCATATGTCTTCACTTTATCGTAGGAGTCAACATGTCACAAAAAAATCGGACCTGGGTTCCTGTAAAGACGTCGTCGAAGGCGATTCCTGCAACTCTGTTGCTCTCTATAGGGGTGTAGAATATGAAGTAAACGCCTGACTGTGTTTTGTGTCACCACATATCCCGCTTGGATGCATTTAAGATGTATTAATTTGTATCAATGAAGCTTTCCATGTCGGCTCAGTTTATCGAGAAGGAATAACGCCAAGGGGGTCCAAATTGTACATACTGCTGTAATGATTTGCTATGCGGTTCGTAAGCACAGCGTAGATAAGAAATTGTCAGCCAACATAACGTGTAAGGTATCTTATTTGAAAAGTGATTACTTTATTACATTGATAAACATTTTCTTAACATCTGTCATAATTATAATAATATAATAATATGCCATTTAGCAGACGCTACAGAGGACCACACTTAAAGCAATGAATTTGTATCCGCTCTCGTTGAACTAAGTTGCATATCTTCCGCCATTCTCTTCAAATCTGAAAACGTTGTGGGCCCGAAAAGCACGGAAACAGTGTCCACTGCTTATATACTTCGTATTTTGGCGAACGTAATACGACATCCGGGAACTTTTGGCATACTAACTATATCCATACTATGACCAATAAGCATACTATATACTCAATTTACGTCACGAATAGTACGGTTAGTATGAGTATACGAACACAGCTCTCGTTTTTTCCCGGAGTTCACAGTTGTCTTGAAAGCGCAACTGTATAAACTACAGTATTCTCATGAGATATACAAAGCAGACGGAAACGTCGAGCTACTACGTATTCTCAGCATAACTGTTACAGAACCGATAAATCAAAAACGGCTACCCCAGCAGGAAATAGGTCTCGGGAACCGGGCCGGCTACATGGAGAACGGGCGAAAGATGGACACTGTAGAACAATGCGACGATGATACACAAAGTAATTTATCCAGCGACAGTGAAGACACCTGCATGTTCTGTATGATTGCTAAAAACCAAGACAAGGACACTGAAATTGTGAAACAGGTAATACAGTTGTTTACAATCACTTTGGCACTAATTTCAGAACCTTGACGTCATTTTTCAAAACTCTAGACACAAAACTCACAACCAATGATCAAAATGCACATTTTTCAAAACTCTTAACACTTTTTTCAATTGCTTGGATACAATACACATAAAACTAAGATAATATGTTCATTTAACAAAAATCACCTGTTCAATATGACACAACTTAACATCAAAGTACTACTATTTCAAAAGGCAATTCACACATTACATTTCAGATGAGTGTCTATTCATTTCATTACAATTATCCAACTATCAATTGATACAACTGCTCAAAATGATAAGTAACTGTTGCATTGCTCTTAATGCATAGTTGTATGGAAACAGACAAACAATATTCCATGTTTAGATCATGAAAGTTTCAAAGTAACGAGATTCATTGTCTCCAATTAGCGTGGAGCATGAACCAATTAGACTACATTATCTATGGATGTAATATTTCATCATCATTCTTTATCAGACACCGTTTCTATGGTCCCCTTGTAACCTTCCTTGATGAGCTCGATCAGGTCTGTAGAGCTGATGGCGTGACCTATGTCATTGTGTGGGATAATGTCAGGTTCCACCATGCTCATATGGTGCAAGCATGGTTTCAGGCCCATGCACAATTTACCACCCTGTATTTACCCCCATACTCTCCTTTCCTTAACCCGATTGAGGAATTTTTCTCCACATGGAGATGGAAGGTTTATGATAGGCGCCCTCATGAACAAGTCACTCTTCTCCAGGCCATGGATGACGCATGCAATGACATCACGGCAGACCAGTGTCAGGCCTGGATTCGCCATGGCCAAAGGTTTTTTCCAAGATGTTTGGCTAATGAAAACATCCATTGTGATGTAGATGAGAACCTGTGGCCAAATCCTCAAGACAGAGTTGATGAAAATGTAGAAGTACAGTAATCACTCCTATGTTTTGCTTTTTACAGTACAAGCAAGCAAGTTGAAGAACACTGCATTTGATGTTTTACAGTAATGTATTGTTTTTCATCAATATATTTCAGATTTTGTTCAGTGATTCCACTGTGTCTGTAGTATTCTCTCTACTACTGCAGTACTTTTACAGGGATGTATTTACATGTAGTACCATAATGAAACATGTATCACCTATTTTGTACTACAATATTTAATGATCGTACGAACAATGACACAGTGAAACTATCGGTTGCTTGTGTGTGGGTGATCTAAATTAACGTTTCATTGTTATTTCACAATAAATTTGTTTTTTGAACCAATGATTGTGCAAGTGCAAGATTTCTTTAAAGATATGAATGCACAATCCAATGTTTTGAACATTGGACAGCCTGTGTTACAAGTGATGACCGTTTTGAGTTTTGTGTCTAGAGTTTAGAAAAATGACGTCAAAGTTCTGAAATTAGTGCCAAAGTCATTGTAAAAAACTGTAATCTCTCGTGGGGATGGGCTCGTAAGCAAGCATTTCACGGTCAAGTCTATACCCGTTGTATTCAGCGCATGTGACAAATAAAATTAGATTTGATTCAATTTTGACACTTATTTAGTTCTGTGTTACCGAGATTATGAAGCGGGTAAAATACATACAGAATGATAGAGGCCTCTAGTGGCATGGGGCAGCGCCATTGAGCGCTCCCACAATTTTAATGTAGCCAACTGGGTGGGACTCAAGGGGCCAGGGTTCAGGTCCAGAAGCACTTTTTTGGCTGCTCCTACAGTTTTACATTTTAGTCATTTAGCAGACGCTCTTATCCAGAGCACATCGGCAGATGTTTCACCTAGCCAGCTCGGGGATTAGAACCAGCGACCTTTCGGTTACTGGCACAATGCTCTTAACCACTAAGCTACCTGCCGCCCGGCCCAGAAAGACAATTTCCATACACGTACACATAGAGATTAAAGAATTCCTAATAAAACACTAGTCATCACCTTTGTGCACAAACTTTTTCATCACACACAGTCGAAGATATTAACATTTTATATTCATCCAATAGAGTACCACAGTGAGTTATAATACCATAAAACCTAGCGATCAAACAAGGAAGTGGTTCCAATAGTTTTTTCCACCATTCATTTTTCCCATATGGGATTTTAGAAACACTTAAAATAAGGGCTCTGTTTTGTGTAGGTTTACCCTGGCGTGACGTTTTGATAACCGTGTAAATCTCTATAGGACAAGGTGACTTTTATAAAAATATTCACCTTTATTTAGACCCTAAAATGAAATGCTAATTAGCTGCTAGTGTAACCTTTGTGAAATGGCTAGCTAGTTAGCGGTGCGCATTAGTAGCGTTTCAATCGGTGACGTCACTCGCTCTGAGACCTTGAAGTAGTTGTTTTCCTTGCTCTGCAAGGGCCGCGGCTTTTGTGGAGCGACGGGTAACGGTGCTTCGAGGGTGACTGTTGTTGATGTGTGCAGAGGGTCCCTGGTTCAAGCCCAGGTAGGGGTGGGGTGAGGAGAGGGACGGAAGCAACACTGTTACACTAGTGTGGCTATCATAAAGAACTACAAATACCATGATGATCTGGACGAGACTGCCAAATTGAGGGAAATGTAAGAATCTCAGGATTAACTATCTAATGTTAGCTAAACATAGTAGTTAATAAATTGGCTGAATTTCTTTAAATGGACAATTCTTTGTACTGTCTTGTGCAAGTTTTTAATTGACACAATACCTGTTAGCAAAGATGTCAGCTAGAGATGACATGCAGGGATTTTTAGTTTTGCATGATGTCTACTTTGATGGTAATTATCATTTTCGAATCTGAGAGTAAATAGAGCCGAATATATTGATAAAAGTCACCTCATCCAAGAGAGATTTACATGGTTATCAAAATATTACGCTAAGGTAAGCCTACACGAAACACAGCCCTTATTTTAAGTGTTTCTAAAATCCCCTATGGGAAAAATGGATGATGGAAAAACGATTGGACCCATTTTTCTGTCTGACCGCTAGGTTTTGTGGGTTTTATGACACCCCCACTGTGGTGCTCTATGTCTGCCATGTTTTTGGATGACGTTGTTGCTGCTTGCCATGCACACTGAGTGCGCATGTGATGTTGGTCAGTATCAGGGTGCCCGTTAGGAAAATGTGTCGCACGGTGCTAAGAATGCCAGAAATGACGTTTAGTTTATGGTAATTGATCTTAACATAACATGCAACAGCGTGCGTCGTTATTACCGAATTGCGATGATCAATTTGAAGATGTTAGAATACATAGGCGACGGGCCCATAAGGCTGGGGGAAGCTTTCCCCTAAAGTAAATTGAATTAAATTGCCAGAATTATATAGCCTAAATAGCTTACTCCTGTCTATACATAAATAAATACAATCATTCAAAATAGGCTAATATAACGTTTTGTGCAAGAAAGAAATGGCCTATTCCAAATACAAACAGACTCTGCGACAGTTGTGGGACGATAGATCCCAAATTCATACAACCAGTAGGCCTAGGCTACATCCTTCCCCAAAAAACGTTAAAAAGCAACGAAGCTCATGCAACAGATCAGAACGTTTAGCTTAAAATGTTTATATTATTTCTTCACATTATAAGCGCAGCAATGCACACAAGGCAGTAGGCTATGCACCATTGTTTGTTCGTTCCATAATGCAATTAGCAGGAAAACACCATTGTCAAAAGGGCACTGCACATGCGAGCAGTTTCATATGACAGATGAAAATATCTGTTAGAAAGAGGGTAGATTTAAAGATGCAAAAACTATCATGGGTTGCTAATATGACTAGGATTGTGCTACTGGACAGTGAAATAAAGTTTTGGCAAGGCTACTTCGAAGCAGGTAAGACATGCCTCATCATATGAAGTAAAACGTTAATTGCAAAGTGGTGTGATGCGCTGATGCCTGCCTACAGTTGCCTGTGCACTTGAATGGCGAATGGGAAGCCATCAAAACTGTATTTAGAATTGTTGTGCAATGATTAGGCTTATAAAAGCATATGTTTCAATCCAGCAGCAACTAATACACTGTTTGAGGAGATGTAGCAGCAGCTCGTGCTGTCTGACAGATTTTCTGCTCAAACTAGGGTCTGTATCTGTATGCTGTGCGTGTCTGATAAATAAGATACATAACGACTAACAAAAATAAACACACCCCAATTTAATTCCACTAAATTATGCAAATTAACCTATATACCGATAAGCATGACCGGTCAAATGTATTTACATTGACTGGTATTTCCATCAATTAATAGGCTAAAAAGCATTGTTTTGCAATGGGATTTTTTTTCTTCTCCTGGACAATTAGCCAGCAGAATTTTTATTTATTGGCTTTTATTTTTTTTGTGGGGGGCCAAAAGCTATTACTGGAATTTAGAACAGTGTTTAGTGGTCACTTCTTCCTACTCCATTGAAGGTCTCCATTTCTTTTGTTAATCTTTTTTACAGGATTCTGAGCTAGTCTGCTTTCGGGACATTTGCCCCGCTGCCCCACATCACTACCTGGTTGTGCCAAAACAACATATAGTGAGCTGCTTCTCTCTCTTTAAGGAGCACATAAAGCTGGGTGAGGAATGATTCAACCAATAACTAATGTTACATGAAATACTGTGCCTTTTTGAAATGCATATACTGTACACAATTGAACGTTCATTGATTATTAATTGGTTTATATGGCAGTTGAGAGGATGGCTGAGATGGGGAGGGCTGTGTTGCAGGAAAATGGCATTACCAATCCAAATGACATCAGGTATAAAGTATCCTGTGTTTGTGGGTGAGAGAGAGAGAGAGATCACATCATCATGTATGTTCATGCTTGTATTTTCAAGTCGCTGGTCTGGTAGGTTCAGTGATCTTGTCTGTCTGTCTACAGGCTGGGGTTCCACATACCTCCATATATCTCTGTACCTCACCTCCACCTCCATGTCCTCGCCCCGACAAGTGAGATCACTGACGACTTGGCACACAAGTTCACACCAGGCACAATGAGGTTCTTCACAGTGAGTGCAAATTTTGACACATTCAGTAGGCTATACACACACGGTGACATACAGTATATACTGAACAAATATATAGACGCAACATGCAACAATTTCAACAATTTTACTGAGTTAGTTCATATAAGGAAATCAGTCAATTGAAATAAATAAATTAGGCCCTAATCTATGGATTTCACATGACTGGGCAGGGGAGCAGCTATAGAGAATGAGTTTTTCCCCACAAAAGGGCTTTATTACAGACAGAAATACTCCTCAGGTCTCAGACGATCCTGCAGGTGAAGAAGCCGGATGTGGAGGTCCTGGGCTGGCGTGGTTACACATGGTTTGCGGTTGTGAGGCCGGTTGGACGTACTGCCAAATTCTCAAAAACGACGTTGGAGGCAGCATATGGTAGAGGAATGAACATGCTTTTTGTGCGCGTGGAACATTTCTGGGATCTTTTATTTCAGCTCATGAAACATGGGACCAACACTTAACATGTTGCGTTTATATTTTTGTTCATATAGTTGCAGAACACACTTTCATATACAGGTGAACACACAGATACCCATACATAATGTGTCTTCAGTCAGTGTAAAATGTAAATTTCCTGCAGGAGGATTTATTGCGCAGGACCCTTGAAGATGACCTCTGCCGATTGGTCTGTACAGTGGAGCCAGATCATTATCATATGCTTTGATGCATCAGTGGGAGATGGCTCTTTGAGTGAGCTGCAGCCTGTCTGCAGGGTCAGAGATGTGAGAATGGGAGAATTTAGCGAAAAGGGCTAAAACATGCTTTTGTTTTGTTATTTAGGGACCTAAACACAATTGTGAAAGCATAGTATAGTCTTCCAAAGAATATCAATAAATATGTTTTCAGATAAGTTAAAGGAATAGATAGGAATTTTTGTTTTTAATGATATTTAGGAGAGGCTTTTGACACTTCCACTTTAAGGATTCCTGGGGTTTGTTTGCTTTTTGGAGGGGGGTAATAAAACAGATTGGTGTAATAAGATATCTGCTCCATTTTTTTAAAACTCTGAAGTTGACTAAATAATGAATAAACCTGATCAGTTGACTTCTTAATGGATACTGTGATTTATACAAGTTAAAGGCCCAGTGCAGTCGACAGTATGAGTTTGGGATAATACTATGTAATTGTGAAAATTATGATAATGCCATTTTAGTGTAAGAGCTGTTTGAAAAGACCCCCTGAAATTTCAGCGTGCTTTGGTGAGATGGATTTTTGGCCTGCCTGGTGACATCACCAGGTGGTAAATTAGTTAGTAGACCAATAAGAAAGAGTTCCAAACCTCTCTGCCAATAACAGCTAATATTCAGTTTTCCCCTCCCCGATCAGACCACTCCCAGACAGTCCTACAAAACAATAATAATAATTGAAAACAATCACAGTAAGGTACTTAACTGTCATCCAGAAATGATTTTGATATTGAGATAAAAACTGCTGCATTAGACCATTAAGGATAGGGCTGCTAGAGTTGACTGCACCAACCCAGTTTTCATCTACACAGGTTGACAAAACACCAGGCATGTTGAAGGTCCCAGACATTCATCCTGATTTCCATGTAAAATAGCCTTTGTTTGGTTATTGTAATATATACAAAATGCTTTTATAATTTAGCTAGCTAGCTAGTTAACCTTGTACAATTTCCTCCTGATTCCGCTCACACGAGGCTCGAACCCAGGAGTAAGTTTCACACATCCCCATGTGCTACATTCACCCCCTCAAACTTTTTCCACAGCGAACCCAGCGTTGAGCTGAGTTCAACTGCAGATCCGAGTCACGGCACCATTTGTAATGGACGCAACGCTAATTGCTTAACGAGTACCGCTTCCTCCTGAATCAGCTCATACTCCCAACTCTACCTGCATCGCTGCCTCTGGGGAGGTCCTGAGTGCTCCACAACATATTTTTAGGGCTTGGGCCTGGATAACATCTAGCTTTTATAAAGATGTCTGAGCTGCTAATCCATATGCTATACTTCCATAATCCATTGATGACCTTAACAGCGCTATATATATATATATATATATATATACAGTGAGGGAAAAAAGTATTTGATCCCCTGCTGATTTTGTACGTTTGCCCACTGACAAAGACATGATCAATCTATAATTTTAATGGTAGGTTTATTTGAACAGTGAGAGACAAAATAGCAACAAAAAAATCCAGAAAAACGCATGTAAAAAATGTTATGAATTGATTTGCATTTTAATGAGGGAAATAAGTATTTGACCCCTCTGCAAAACATGACTTACTACTTGGTGGCAAAACCCTTGTTGGCAATCACAGAGGTCAGACGTTTCTTGTAGTTGGCCACCAGGTTTGCACACATCTCAGGAGGGATTTTGTCCCACTACTCTTTGCAGATCTTCTGCAAGTCATTAAGGTTTCGTGCCTGACGTTTGGCAACTCGAACCTTCAGCTCCCTCCACAGATTTTCAATGGGATTAAGGTTTGGAGACTGGCTAGGCCACTCCAGGACCTTAATGTGCTTCTTCTTGAGCCACTCCTTTGTTGCCTTGGCCGTGTGTTTTGGGTCATTGTCATGCTGGAATACCCATCCACGACGCATTTTCAATGCCCTGGCTGAGGGGAGGTGGTTCTCACCCAAGATTTGATGGTACATGGCCCCGTCCATCGTCCCTTTGATGCGGTGAAGATGTCCTGTCCCCTTAGCAGAAAAACACCCCAAAAGCCTAATGTTTCCACCTCCATCTTTGACAGTGGGGGTGGTGTTCTTGGGGCCATAGGCAGCATTCCTCCTCCTCCAAACATGGCGAGTTGAGTTGATGCCAAAGAGCTCGATTTTGGTCTCATCTGACCACAACACTTTCACCCAGTTCTCCTCTGAATCATTCAGACGTTCATTGGCAATCTTCAGACGGGACTGTATATGTGCTTTCTTGAGCAGGGGGACCTTGCGGGCGCTGCAGGATTTCAGTCCTTCACGGCGTAGTGTGTTACCAATTGTTTTCTTGGTGACTATGGTCCCAGCTGCCTTGAGATCATTGACAAGATCCTCCCGTGTAGTTCTGGGCTGATTCCTCACCGTTTTCATGATCATTGCAACTCCACGAGGTGAGATCTTGCATGAAGCCCCAGGCCGAGGGAGATTGACAGTTCTTTGCATAATCGCACCAACTGTTGTCACCTTCTCACCAAGCTGCTTGGCGATGGTCTTGTAGCCCATTCCAGCCTTGTGTAGGTCTACAATCCTGTCCCTCACATCCTTGGAGAGCTCTTTGGTCTTGGCCATGGTGGAGAGTTTGGAATCTGATTGATTGATTGCTTCTGTGGACGTGTGTCTTTTATACAGGTAACAAACTGAGATTAGGAGCACTCCCTTTAAGAGTGTGCTCCTAATCTCAGCTCGTTACCTGTATAAAAGACACCTGGGAGCCAGAAATCTTTCTGATTGAGAGGGGGTCAAATACTTATTTCCCTCATTAAAATGCAAATCAATTTATAACATTTTTGACATGCGTTTTTCTGGATTTTTTTGTTGTTATTCTGTCTCTCACTGTTCAAATAAACCTACCATTAAAATTATAGACTGATCATTTCTTTGTCAGTGGGCAAACGTACAAAATCAGCAGGGGATCAAATACTTTTTTCCCTCACTGTATATATATATATATATATACAGTGGGGAGAACAAGTATTTGATACACTGCCAATTTTGCAGGTTTTCCTACTTACAAAGCATGTAGAGGTTTATCATAGGTACACTTCAACTGTGAGAGACGGAATCTAAAACAAAAATCCAGAAAATCACATTGTATGATTTTTAAGTAATTAATTAGCATTTTATTGCATGACATAAGTATTTGATACATCCGAAAAGCAGAACTTAATATTTGGTACAGAAACCTTTGTTTGCAATTACAGAGATCATGTTTCCTGTAGGTCTTGATCAGGTTTGCACACACTGCAGCAGGGATTTTGGCCCACTCCTCCATACAGACCTTCTCCAGATCATTCAGGTTTCGGGGCTGTCGCTGGGCAATACGGACTTTCAGCTCCCTCCAAAGATTTTCTATTGGGTTCAGGTCTGGAGACTGGCTAGGCCACTCCAGGACCTTGAGATGCTTCTTACGGAGCCACTCCTTAGTTGCCCTGGATGTGTGTTTCGGGTCGTTGTCATGCTGGAAGACCCAGCCTCGACCCATCTACAATGCTCTTACTGAGGGAAGGAGGTTGTTGGCCAAGATATCGCGATACATGGCCCCATCCATCCTCCCCTCAATATGGTGCAGTCGTCCTGTCCCCTTTGCAGAAAAGCATCCATAAAGAATGATGTTTCCACCTCCATGCTTCACGGTTGGGATGGTGTTCTTGGGGTTGTACTCATCCTTCTTCTTCCTCCAAACACGGCGAGTGGAGTTTAGACCAAAAAGCTCTATTTTTGTCTCATCAGACCACATGACCTTCTCCCATTCCTCCTCTGGATCATCCAGATGGTCATTGGCAAACTTCAGACGGGCCTGGACATGCGCTGGCTTGAGCAGGGGGACCTTGCGTGCGCTGCAGGATTTTAATCCATGACGGCGTAGTGTGTTACTAATGGTTTTCTTTTAGACTGTGGTCCCAGCTCTCTTCAGGTCATTGACCAGGTCCTGCCGTGTAGTTCTGGGCAGATCCCTCACCTTCCTCATGATCATTGATGCCCCACGAGGTGAGATCTTGCATGGAGCCCCAGACCGAGGGTGATTGACCGTCATCTTGAACTTCTTCCATTTTCTAATAATTGCGCCAACAGTTGTTGCCTTCTCACCAAGCTGCTTGCCTATTGTCCTGTAGCCCATCCCAGCCTTGTGCAGGTCTACAATTTTATCCCTGATGTCCTTACACAGCTCTCTGGTCTTGGCCACTGTAGAGAGGTTGGAGTCTGTTTGATTGAGTGTGTGGACAGGTGTCTTTTATACAGGTAACGAGTTCAAACAGGTGCAGTTAATACAGGTAATGAGTGGAGAACAGGAGGGCTTCTTAAAGAAAAACTAACAGGTCTGTGAGAGCCGGAATTCTTACTGGTTGGTAGGTGATCAAATACTTATGTCATGCAATAAAATGCAAATTAATTACTTTAAAATCATACAATGTGATTTTCTCACAGTTGAAGTGTACCTATGATAAAAATTACAGACCTCTACATGCTTTGTAAGTAGGAAAACCTGCAAAATCGGCAGTGTATCAAATACTTGTTCTCCCCACTGTATATATCATTTTCAACATCATTGTATCTGCCCCCCACTCCATTCCTGACAAGAACGCATCACATTCAATCGTTTATTTCCTTTGACAACTACTCTGTTCATTTGCTCTGCCCATGTCATTCGAGTGTCAAACCAGATTCCCCAGGAACCTAAACCCTCCCACCCTCTCCCGATTTCTTCCATACAACTTCAAGTATATTTCCTCCCCAACCTTCCTTCTAGAAAAAAAACACAGTCTGTGTTTTCTCAACTGAAAACTTGAAGCCCCACCTGAGGGACCACTGCTCTACTTCACTAATCGCTTCTTGAACTCTTCTGGCTGTATGGGTAATATTTCCCCCTTTTCCACAGCGCTCCATCATCCGCAAACAATGACCGCCCAATATCAGGTCTCACCTGAGAGAATACATTGTCAATCATAATGGAGAACAACAAAGGACTAATGACACTTCCCTGGGGGATACCATTATCCACCTCATAGCTTTCTGACATAGAGCTCCCCACCCTCACTTGTATTGATTTCCCAAAAGGAAAATCCTTTATCCAGTTAAAAACCCTTCCTCCAACCCCCATGGTATCCAGCTTGATAAGTAGGCCTTCCTTCCACATCATATCATAAACCTTCTCTACATCAAAGAAAACAGCTACCACCACCTCCATATTTGCCTTCCGTATGTCTGACTCAAGGCACAGTACAGGATCCATCGTTCCTCTGCCTTTCCTGAACCCACTTTGATCAGGTGACCTTAGTGCTCTACTCTCCAGAAAGT